TGTTAAATGAACCGGATGTTGCGGCAGACTTCTGTATTGTTATGTATTTCTGAGGGAAACTGAATATGAACTAGAGGGCAGGGCTTGATTTTCACACACCACCTCACCATCTCTCGCTGACAGCAGACTGAGGTGTTTGTTAAGGATGTTTTGCCCAAGCCGTCAAACTGACGTCATTAGAAAATAAACACCAGTCAAGGGAAGGAACTTTTTAGATTTCACTAGGGTGGCAGAAGTCATTGGATGTGTATATTTTTCATGCCAGGTTAAATAACATTTTCTCAAATGTGACATTTGCACCGCCTTTATAAAAAGGTCAATTGATATTCTGGATTTTGTTTGGAGTTCCTTCTTTCGCCCTCACTTTTTGTACCTATTATAAGTTTTTCATTTTGCAAAAAGGAAGCAATATTACCGATAAAATCATTATCACGGCACATATTGTGTTTAGTAGATCAGCTTTGCCAGTCCATCCATTCATTCATTCATCCATCACAACAGACATAATCCACTTTAGTCTGATTTAGTTGTCTAGGCTTTGATCTCTTTGGCTTTGTTTGTTTCATCTGTTACCTGGGTGAGCAGGATGCTCTGTTTCACTTTTACATTCAACCTACTTCATGAGCCTTCAACACATAAATACACATGGCTTAATTGTGTATAATTTATCAGCGCACTTTATTCCAATGTTTGATTATTTTTCCCTCATAAATGTCTTGTTTCATTTAGAAACAGGTGTATACATCACATTAGAAAATAAGGTCCCATTTTAAATTAGGTGTCTTTAATGTACAATGCACTTATTGTGTACATACATGTTTTTTTACATTGTACTTGAAATACCATGTAATTACAGCTGTAATTAGTTAATTTCTGTAATTACATCTGTAATTACACTGTTGACCCTTCCCTTAAACCTTAACCAACCCTACCCGTGACCCTCCTCAATAGCAGCAAAAGTGCTTTACAATACAACAACACATTAATGTACTTATTTTTTATATAAGTGCATAGTTAAGGACACCTAATATAAAGTGTGACTGAAAATAAAATTGGTTGTGAATGCTGTTTCATGTTAACTTCAATTCTTACCACTCAGAAAGAGAAACAACTAGTTATCTCACACATATAATCCTTTAAGGGGAAATACAGTAACGTGAAACCCCCAAACTGAGGCATTAATGTCACGAACACTGAAAGATTTCAGCAGACTTTCTGTTATAGCAGTGACTCAATCAGTGTCAATTGTTAACAAAGAAGATTAGCTTTGGGATATAATTATATTATTTAATGATATTATTTGGTGGAGAAAAAAAATGCTTAATCTATATAAATTAATATGTCATTATTTATATTTCTAAGTAACTATTTCAGGCCATTTTCAATAGATTTTCTCTAACACTTTCCAATAAGGTTCAGTTGGTTACGTTATGCATTAGTTAATGAATTACTGTAGGTATCATGAACTAACAATGAACAATACGCTTATACTGTACATTCATTAATTTAGGTTAATGTTAAATAAAATATTTAACAAATTAATTTAGCTATGATTTAATGATTATTTATTTATAATTGAATGATTTTACAACTAATCATTTCTTTAATTTAAATTTCTTTAATTTAAAATTGATATTAAATTAACTTATAATACATGTATAATATTTCAATTTGTATAAATTTACATTAAAGGACGAACATTAATTAACAATCAACAATATATTTATAAACTTACATTAACTGCTAAACGCTGTAAAATAAAAGTTTAGTGTTTTTAGTTAATAATACATAATGCATTAACTAATGTTATTGAACCGTATTGTAAATGGTTTCCATTTCCTCTTTGCAGCTATTTGATAGGCTATATTAAATTTATGGATCGTCTTAATGCAGGATTCACCCCAAAATGGCAATGAAGTGCTCCACCAATGGTACAGGCCTACTAATATTCATGTAACTTGTTTTCTAACTCATGTCGTGTCTCCATTGTAATCAACATAGTAAGCAATAGTTAACAGTTGAAGAACACCCACCTGCAGATGCCTCAATGCCCATTACACAGCTCCCATTGAGCTCCAAACACATTACAGAGAACAATACATAGATGAGGCATATGAAGGATGAGATAAGAGAGAGAAAAATGCAAATAGGGGGAATCACGAATCAATTTGTAAAAAAAAAAACACAGAAGTGAGACATCCAACATCAAGACCACGGGACTAAGCTAATGGCAGGTAGAGAAATCAATCTATTATACATGAGTGTGTGGGCATGACGTTGGCGCAAGAAAAGGCAATCGGCCCTGAGCAGTGAGAGGAGGTGCAGAAGTCAAGAATAAACTCCCCCTTCTCTTCAGATGATTCACTTCCTGCCCACCAGAGTGTGGCAGACGGTATCTGACCGAAAGACACTCGGCCTGTTATGCAAATGCACACTTTCAGTCGACCTGCGTCTCCACGGTAACGTGGCATGTATAGTAACAGGAAATAAATAGTAATAATTGGATCTCTGACAACTATGACAGAATGACTCATTCAAAGGACATTCGGTGAGCAGCGGAAAGACTTTGCCACCTGTGCGCTTGGCATATGAGATACTGTTACAGTAACACGGTTATGTGTAAATATGGGGAGGTTATAGTGGGAGAAGGAAGAGACGAGACGAGACAAAAAAAGAAAAGGTTTTAAAGCTGAACCACCAGATATAGTCACCTAATGGATAATATTGTTGTTTCTCTTACCTAGTATCGGCATAAACAAACAAATATTTACTTATTTGAAAGGGTATTAGGTTATTAGAGCTTTTGATTTGCCAAAAAAACTAGATTGCAAGTAATCATCAGTCTTTTTTCATCAGTACTTACAGTATATTGTGTTTATTTTCATAGAAGAGTAAGACATTTTGGGTATATAAAATATAGGAATACATCGAAATGGCTTGAAATCTTACATCTGTCTATTATTCATCTGCTGAAATACAGTGGAACCTGATAAGCACTATCTAGTATTCCACTGAATAACTTCCCCATCTTTTTGTTATTTGAAACCTGCTCCAGCTGAAATTCCCAGCATGGTTCCTCCTAACTGCTATCTGAAAGATAGGATGTTTGGTTGGATACAAAGCATGTAACTCTTAAGTCAGGTAATGTCATGCCACCCGATCCTGCTTGTTTAAACAGAACTTGGCAAGGCTCCTCATCTACAGGTGATTTTAAATCTCTCAAAAAGAACTTATCCTCTTTGTGTAAAATGAAAGGATTCCAGTGGCATTATGTGTAGACTGGATTTACAGATAGAACAGGTTATACATTCCAGAAGAAGTGGAAATGCAAATGTGCACCAGGGTTATTGTTGTTAAAGCAATATTTCTCTTTTTTATTTAGTTTAACTTGATGCAGGCTACTAAAATGACAAACATAAATATTAAAAATTGATGAAAACTATAGCCGTGTATATATATATATATATATATATATATATATAAGACTAATACAAATTACAGAATCTCAAAAAAAAAATCATTTAACTTTAAACTTAAAAAGAAAATGGAAAATATAAAAATAAACACAGAGATTTTAAATCCGTTAAATCCCCAGGGGGCCGCAAGAGTATAAGGTGGTCTGCAGAAAACTGTATGTTTAAAGTGAAAATATTAATATATAGGCTATGTATAAATCTAACTGTATATAATATAAAAATAATATTTATTTAGTAATAATATATATTTATATAAATACACATTAATACAGTTACATTACATATTCACTGTAAACATGTATATAATACAAAAAATATATTTATTTATATAATATATATATTTATAAATATACATATCACACAGTTACATTATATATATATATATATACACATTCACTGTAAACATACCCTTTTCTGCAGACCCCTTTATACTCTCTTGTGGCCCCCTGCGACCCCAATTCAAAATCCCTGGGTTATATCTTGTCCCCCTCCCTTGACTGACCGGACAAATTCTGTATTATAAGATCGAGGATGGCATCAGGTTATGACACACTTATATAACTTACAGGGTCAGTGGACCACATATGGAGAACAGGCTGAGAACTAAATGATGTGGCTCAGAGTATCGGTTTACGTAGCCTTGATGGCGCAGCCTCCTCACCCTTGACCTGGTCGGATTGCTTGAACATGGTGGCTTGTTCGCAGATGATGAGAATCTGTTAAAACACAGGCTTTAACAGATTAATATTGTACGTCATTCTCAGTAGGCCTAAGTAATGGGGAGAATATTTTAGCACATCTATTTAGCACAGGAATGTCTTCCATTAACCATAATCTCGTGCCATGTGCATGATCCAGCCCTAATTTCACTGAATGCATTTCATTTCTCATTTTTTACTGCTTCACTCTCTTCTTCGTCATTACTGATAAGGATTAGAAGTTAATCTATTACTCTGTGATGAGATGCGGTGAGCCAGCTGTGTAGCAATTTTCAATTGAGAGAGAGTCAGAAGCTGCGACCGAAATCGCCTACTTCCCTACTATATAGTAGACGAAAAACAGTAGGCCTACTATCATGTGACAAAAGCAGTAAGTCTATGTCCAAATTCACAGTAGCTACTGATAAAAGAATAGGCAAAAAGTACCTGGATGACCTTCTGCTTCCAGCGAGATTCTGGTGTGCATATGATACTATATAGAACATACTTTTTTAGCAGCCCTGAAGTAATAACTCATATTCAAAATAAGAACCTACTCGTGTGATTTGGTTCACTTGAATGGAAGCGCTTCCGCCCCCCTTGCATCGCCTCCTACCGGTGAAACAGAGATTCGTGGGATCCCGTGACATCACATTTTGCAAGTCTCCTCGGTTACCCAAGTGATGTCAGAGCCTCGCCTCCACAACCACGTGTTCCGTATAAAAATACGAGTCCAGCGCTGGCGGGGAAAGACAGTAGCGCTGCCCATCCAACAGCCTGCCATCAAAACCCGTTAGTGCGCTTCGTCAAACTCAAACGGTTCGCTGCTGGGAGATCAGCGCGTTGCAATAAAAGGCTTCTAAAGGAATACATTCATCCTGTGGATTTATTCTTATAAAATAATAGTGATGGCAGTTACTCAGGCTGGATGCGACTTGACATACTGCAAGATGAGGGGGATCGTGTCCGTTCTCACCGGTACGTCTCTCTCAACAGATTCGAGTTATTCGAGTTATTTTGTTTGAGTTATGTCTATAAAAGACTTTGCTTATTTGATTATGCTTTAGAAAAAAAAGATGCAATATGTCAAAAATGCAATTAAACAACTGTATTGGGAGAGAGAAAAAATGTCTTTAGAGGTGATAGCCGTTTTTTTGTGTTTGTACAGTCTATTTTAATTAGGTCTATCATTTATTTTTTCTTTAGTCGCATTTAAAAATATATATTGCATGCATTTTTATTCGGGTTTAATTGTTTTTACATTGGTTAAGTAAATTTGGTGGTCGGTGTTTCAAGAGAATGAAAGAAATGATGAAGTATCGTTCGTGATATGTGTACAATTACAGTGAGCAATGCGGTCTGTTGTGTAACACTGACACGTTCTTGACATTAAACCACATTCACACGGATCCTGAATCACAGCATGTATATTAGCTACATGATTTCTGGCATAGACCTGACGTGCAAATGATTATTTTGTGGATGTCGATTACCTCTAAGATTTTTTTAAGGGTTTCCCTTCTCATATTGGCATTTCCTTCAGTTCAAATGCAGGCTGTTAATGACGTCAGCTGTGGATTTCCTTCTGACGTAAATGGTTATTTTTCATTTCAGCTTTTATTAAAGAAAGGAAGATGGGCTTAAACGACTTCATCCAGAAGCTTGTTTCCAACCCTCCCATTTGTCAACAGTAAGTATCCCAACATTTAATTATATGAAAAAACAAAAAACAAAAAAAAAAACATGAGGCTGCATTTTTACCTACAATTAGCCTATCCATGTAGATTTTTGTACAGACAAAACACATAGGCTATTGAACAAATAAGAGCATATATGATTTCTGTGTTTCAAAGTCAGCAAGAAAGTGGTTCAGGAAATTTCCATCATTCATTCACCAAGGCAACACTGTAACCTCTGGTGTAACCTGTAATCCCATCATCGGACTTTAGCTGTACATTCTGCTAATTGAGTAGGTTAATCTGTACCGGCAAGATAAAGCCAAGCACAAGAATAGTGCTCTGCGAAAAGCAGCTGTCCAGGCCGCCGCTTGGCTGCAGTAAGCACCTTTGAGAAAATCCCTAATGTCCCCAGACGAGGATAAGGGCCTGATTCAATTAAGCGCGGCCCATTTGGTCTTATTCAGGTCGGACCAGTGGAAAATTTCTCACCGCATCTTTACCCTCCATATGCTCCACAATATTCATTCATGATGGAAGATGCTGGGGGTGTCCCTCAATAGATTAAAAATCATAATTTTGGGGCAGGAGGACTGATTTTATCTGGTTTCAATAAAATAGTATTTGATCTATATTTTAGTATATTTATGTAATGTAATATTCTTGCACCGATTGCTGCTGTCTTGTCAGGTTACAATTTTAATCAAGTAATTTTGAATGTTCCAAAACCAGAAATGGCCCATCATAAACTTCAACAACACTGCCATCTATCTGTGTGCAAAGGCATTACAAGAAATAAGTCATTTAAAGCAGTGGTTCTCAACCTTTTTGACTGCCCAACACAATATTTGAACCACTCAGTTTGTCTTTTGTTTTTACAAACTGTGGGTTTTAAACAAAGCTAACTATCTGAAATATAAATATTTTTTATCTCTTTTCTCTAGTGATGAGGTTGGTTCATTCTTAAAAATAGATGAAAACCAGAATGAGGAGCTGGAAGAGAATCACCTGTGTTTGACCAATCCCAGGAGCTCTTTGGCTGAAGAAACTCAGTACGTAGTTACTCTTCCCATCTTCTGTTTTCAATCTTTTGTTTGGTTAGTTGGATTTCAGTCAGTCAGGCTGCTTGCTGTTTGCATTACTGATGTGTTTTTTTTAATTTCCTTAACAGGATCCAACCTTCAGATTTTGACTACTTAAAGATCATTGGGAAGGGGAGCTTTGGAAAGGTGGGCAACTTTTCATTTTTTATACAGTCAAGATGTAAACATTTATGTCATATTCTAAACTGAGAATGCTAACTGCGTCTTATTCCACAGGTTCTGCTCGCGCGGCACAAGGAAAGCGAACAGTACTATGCTGTGAAGGTGCTACAGAAGAAAATCATTCTGAAAAAGAAAGAGGTAAGACCTAATGCAATGCTCTCATATAGATGTGAAAGCACTTCGCCACAATCATAATAACAATGACACTCAAAATGTTTTTCAGCAAAAGCATATCATGGCGGAAAGGAGTGTATTAATGAAAAATATCAAACATCCATTCCTGGTTGGGCTGCACTACTCTTTCCAAACCACAGACAAACTGTACTTTGTGCTAGACTACGTCAATGGAGGCGAGGTTAGTAAACAATGCATTCAAAGCCTGAAAGAGGCCATGCCTCAGCTTAAAATAGATGACTGAATTCATGAACTCTTGGTGTTTTTCTTCTGCAGCTGTTCTACCACCTCCAGCGTGAGAGGGTGTTTCTGGAGCCCAGGGCAAGGTTTTATGCTGCTGAGATAGCTAGTGCTCTCGGTTACCTCCACTCACTGCACATCGTTTACAGGTATGCGAATGCCTGCAGTGCCTTCTAGTGGAGAAGTAGTTGAACTGAGTACTCGATTCTGTTCATTATAATGGTGACCATGGGGTCTTACCTTTACCTGTCAATTTTCACAGAGACTTAAAGCCAGAGAACATCCTCTTGGACTGTCAGGGCCACATTGTGCTGACAGATTTCGGTCTGTGCAAAGAGGGACTGGAATCAAACGGCACAACCACAACGTTCTGTGGAACTCCTGAGGTAGGTCATTCATAAACGACTATCTTGTGAAAAAGAAGTGCGCTTAATTGTATTGAACGTGCACTTCAAATTAAAAAGTTTATTTTAAAAAAAAAACTAAAAAAAAAAAGCAGATTATAATATAATAATGAAATAGAGGGCCACACTTACGTGTAGGCTACTTAAAGGGAGTACACTTTCATGACTGTTTAAAGTACACTTTTAAAATATCAAACTAAATGTTTTACATTGAAGTACATTATAAATAATTATCATGCTTTAAAGTACACTTATTTTGTGTTTACTAACATACTAAAGCACATACAAAGTACTTAGAATGTTAACTGTAGTGTTATTCAGTATTACCTTTAAAGTTTAAATATATTAAACATAATAAATTGCAACTTCATCATTATATATATTTTTAAACAAACAAGTTTCAATAGAAATGAAATTAAAGTATATTATAGTTTACCATAAATGCTTCAGTACATTCAGCAGTATTAATGATACTGTATATACATTTCCATTTAATTCCAGTGTCTGAAAACATAGTATTCAGTTCACACTTAAGTGTATTATTTTAAAGTATATTATTTCTGTAATACGTGCTCTTTTATCCAAAGGTGTACTTCTTTTTCACAGGGGAATATAAGATAGTTTGTCTATATTTGACAAGAAATTTGGATTTAAACAGTGGTTTGATTTCTTTCTCTTTTTTCCCCCACAGTACTTGGCACCTGAGGTCCTCCAGAAACAGGCCTATGATCGTACAGTAGACTGGTGGTGCCTGGGATCAGTACTGTTTGAGATGCTGTATGGACTGGTGAGAATACCTTTTGCCTGGAAAATGACTAGATCGGTTGTACACTGTAAAAAATAATAATTATTATTTCAACTTAAGAAGTGTTCAGGCTGCCTTATAATTGTAAGTTTAGTCAACTTGAAATGTGAAGTTGTACTAAGTGATAACTTGGAAATTTGAGTTGACTAAACTTAAAAATTTTAAGGCATTTTAACACTTGAAACAACCATTTATATTACATTGTAGCAGAGGATACATTTAGCAAACAATTCATCTCTCGCACTTTGTTTTTCTAGCCTCCATTCTACAGTCGCAACACTGCCGAGATGTACAACAACATCCTTCACAAGCCTCTAGTCCTGAAGCCTAATGTGTCCAATTCTGGCCGTGACCTGCTGGAGGGTTTGCTGCACAAGGACCGTACCAAGAGACTTGGGTCCAAAGATGATTTTGTAAGTGGAAAAACACACCAGTGCTACTCGCATATGGTTTATTTTCCGGAGATTTGCGATTCTAATTCAAACTTTTACTTATTTGTAGCTGGAGATTAAGTTCCACAGCTTCTTCTCTCCCATCTACTGGGATGACCTCATGGCCAAAAAGATCATCCCTCCTTTCATTCCTTCAGTGGTAAGTTTATAATTTACCTGCATAGTAATAATTTGTAATAATGCTAATACTAAACTTTTTAGTACATTTTAAATCTTTATGTTTTAATAATCCTTTGTTGTGCTTTAAAGAAGTACACTTAGTTTGAAGTGTTGACGTACATACTAAAGCACATGTAAAGTATTGTGGTGTGTTTTTCAATATTACATTTAAAGTTAATATATTTTTAAATAAACGTCATCATTACAAATATATTTACAAATATACATGACATACAAGCAATGACATTAAGGCAATACATCACAGGTGAATAGAGTATGTTTGGTGTATGCAAGTGCTACTAAAGTTTTAGATTCCTGGTTAATCTACAGATGCAAATACATAAAGAATAACAATAAACAACTTTCTTTCCAGTAGTCTACGTGTTATGGAAGCAAAATAGCCCAAAATCGTAAAATTGACCAGTGCATGAAAAAATGGTTTTGCTTGTAGTGTCTTGCCTTAGAGTATATTTTAGTTTACAATAAATCCTTGTCCTTGCATAGAGATGTAATAAATTGTCTCTATTAAATCTACAGAGTGGTCCCACTGACCTTCGGCACTTTGACCCAGAGTTCACACACTTACCTGTGTCGACCTCCCTATGCAACACTGATAACCTGCACATGACCAGCAGCGTACGGGAGGCAGCTGGAGCATTCCCAGGTTTTTCTTATGGTCCAGCGGCTGACCATGCCTTCCAGTAATAGCCTCCGTGACACCATCCAGAATGTCCATTCCAGCATCGGGACAGAAGAAGGACCACAGTGCGGGACACTTAGCTCTTCCAATTTATTTGCAAGTACGACCTGGCACCACAAAGGGACATTGATACAACCCGGATACTCGTGCATGCCCAGGAGGAACATGGGACGTTATAGGACTACAGTAACAACTTCCAGAAAACATGAAATGTGTGCCAATGGTTGCAAAGAGGACCTGAGCTCCTAGAGAGAGAGAGAGAGAGAGAGAGAGCGCTTAGAAGTGCCTGAGAATTTAACTGATGATCTGTGAGAGGAGGGAAACAGGCAAATTAACTGTGGCTGAGATGATGGCACCAGCTACTGGGCGAAATGCCTTCTGCGATCTTTTATATTTGATCAAAATGTCTTTGGATGATGTTTTATTTAATTGCATTTTTCATGCATCGTTGCACAGTGGAGGTAAAGGATCAAGAAATGTACAAAATATATGGATGGCATACACCAACCCCTACCGGTACAAGAGGATACACAGGCTGTACGACTCAAATATCAATACATTTTTAATGAGTACATTTATTATCTTCTTTCTATTGACAAATGTTAATTTGATAACTGCAATATTTATAATACTGCATTATTTTAGTGCGGTTTGGCTTAACTCTGGTCCTACTCAGATTTATATTAGAAGGGAAATTAGTTTAGATTACGAAGCCACAAGGCTTTTAGCTGTGATTATTTGTCTGATTGAATAGAAGACATCCTGTGTTCCTCCTAAAATTAATATTTTGTCTTACAAGCACTTTCTTTCCTTTTTTCTCCAATGCCAGCACTTTTACACAATATGCCAGACACTGTTTCTTGGGAAGGCAATTTTACTAGTGTACATCACATTCTTTTATCATACATTTAGTGAGATGGATGTATGTTTTAAACATCCATTTATCATCACTATCTGAAGCGATCGCTGTTTACCGAAAACACAGCATGTCGATTAGATTGTATTGAAACCACCTGCATCACATATAGAAGTTATATGTACTAGCCCAAAAGGAACTGTCTTTTTTTTTTGGTTCAAATTGTGCCTGTTCAGCTAATTTATGTATGTTGTGATGCATTTCCATGTGTGTCTATCATTCCTGTCAGCATCGTTCTGGGTTGGACAGGGACATGGAATGCTGTGCAATAGAAATGGTGACTTGAAAGAGATGTGAACAATTTGTCATGCAAGACGTTGTTGAGACAATTGAGTGGCATCGACTTAATGATGAAGAGGGGTTTGGATGCCCTCATGAAATGCATCCCTATTTTAATTGTAATATATTTCATATCATTGGACCAGTTATGTGCTATACAATGTTTTTTAGATAACTGCAAACATGGCAATATTGATAATGTTTATTTTCTTCCATTTTTGGAAGTTATTCATATATTGTTTTATATTTTTCCATGTATATTTATTTACATGTCACATATTTTACCTCTAATGATCAGAGTATTAAATTCTTAGATTGATGAAATATTGGAGAATGATCTATTTGAATGCAAAATAAATATTTGAAAAATGAATCCCTACATGTCTACTTATTCTTCACTTTTGTTTTGATGTTTAATTTGTTCACTTAATTTTTTAATTGTTCAGTTTTGGGTTGTGAATCTATCCATCCAGGGTATTTCATTGCCCACAGCCTGAGATGCTGGGATCACGGCATCTCCACAACCCTAAGTGACATGGGAAATAAATGAATGGATGGAGTAAAAAAATGCTATTATGCTCACCAAGGCTGCATTTATTTGATCAGAATACAGTACAAACAGTAATATTGTGAAATATTAGTAAGATTTAAAACAAGTTTTCTATTTGAATATATTTAAAATAAAATGTATACCTGTGATGGATGGCAAAGCTGAATGTTCAGCATAATTACTCCAGTTTTCCGTGTCACATGGTCATTCAAATATGCTGATTTGCTGCTCAAGAAACAGTTCTTATAATCAATGTTAAAAACAGTTGCGCTGCTTAATATATACAGTTTATGGATGGATAAGGTAAATATTACTAGATCTAGTATTATGGCCTAGATCCTAGTTATATGATCAAGGCAGTGTGAGTGTGATCTGTTTGGCATTTTTATGTTGATACGGTTTATTCTCAAAGTGACAAATGATTCCGGCAGATTCAGGGAATTGTTATTTTAGTGCATCTTGATCTTGCTTTTGGCACAGTTAATAATGGGATTATCCATGACAGCTTAAAGGCAGGGTAGGTGATTTGTTCCAGAATTTTTTTTTTTTTTTTTATATATGCTGGTTGAAAGTCCCTTCACATCCTAATAGCAATCACTAAGTTATTTGGCCTAAATGTATTTATATGTATATACTGTATATGTCTGTGGAAAACGTACAGCAATAAAATGTTAGTTCAATCTTTGCATTCGATCCGAATGCAATGATACAATGTCCTACCTGCCTGTCAACGTATGTATTTACATAACTCCGCCATCCTGCTCACACAGACATCAGCGTGTTTTATGCTATGCAGAATTAGACAGACGTCAGTCACAGAGCACCGCAACTGAAACACCAGCCACCTTTTACAGTTCCTTCTGAACCAAAACAACAAGCTTATACTGCGTTCACGCCATAACTACTGTGATTAGGAAGAGATGGAAACCTGTGACGTTATATTCGGAGCGGTTCGTGACTCGAATTTATGAGTTTCAATGGCAACACTATCAATGCCGAAATTAATCTGCAGCAGTCAGGTGGTACAGGTCAGTGCTCTTTAAGTTGTTTATGTTCATTAGTATTGTAATGTTATGTGTTTTGAGACATGAGGTTTTACACCATCTCTCGTGGCGCTTTTGTTTGCTCCATGCTGTACGCATTCATGTGATTTGAAGGAGGCGTGGCTTTGGAGAACCTCTAAAGGTAGGGTGGGATATTATGCTTTCAAATCTGGCTCACTATTGCTAGCCTCAAAATTGCCAACCCTTCTTTTAAGTCAGTGGGTGGGATAAAGTGCAATAAAGTATTAAAGGGGTTGTATTCTTAAAGGGATACTCCACTTTTTTTGGAAATAGGCTCATTTTACAACTCCCCCAGAGTTAAACTGTTGAGTTTTACCGTTTTTGAATCCATTCAGACTTTTAGCATAGCTTAGCATACATCATTGAAGTGGACAAGACCATTAGCATTTCTAAAAAAAAAAATGGCCAAAGAGTTTCGATATTTTTCCTATTTAAAACTTGACTCTTCTGTAGTTACGTGCAATAAGACCGACGGAAAATGTAAAGTTGCGATTTTCTAGGCTGATATGGCTAGGAACTATACTCTGATTCCTGCGTAATAATCAAGAAACTTTACTGCCGTACCATGAGAGCAGCAGGCGTAATGATATGACGCAGCGCCTGAAAAGAGTTCCGTTGTGTTGACGGAGGGTAGCCTATTTTCAGGTGCTGCGTCATATCATTACGCCTGCTGCTCTCATGGTACGGCAGTAAAGTTTCTTGATTATTACGCAGGAATGAGAGTATAGTTCCCTAGAAAATCGCAACTTTACATTTTCCGTCGGTCTTAGTGCACGATGTAACTACAGAAGAGTCAAGTTTTAAATAGGAAAAATATCAAAACTCTTTGGTCATTTTTTTTTTTAGAAATGCTAATGGTCTTGTCCACTTCAATGATGTATGCTAAGCTATGCTAAAAGTGGTACCGCCAGAACCGGAGATCGGCTGAATCGTGAATGGATTCAAAAACGGTAAAACTCAACAGTTTAACTCTGGGGGAGTTGTAAAATGAGCCTATTTCCAAAAAAAAGTGGAGTATCCCTTTAAGCCGGGTGCACACTATAATAGTCCTTTACGATTGTTGCTTGTCAGACTGTACAAACATGATCCCAGCTGTAAGCCATGTCACACTGTGGGTCAGACCAACGGCACAGCGATCAGGGAGCCCTGCCTAAGTTTACGTTTAAGTTTACGGACAAAGATGGCTGATGACATCGCAAACACTGTAAATCTTATATTGCTGTTATCTGGGTGCATTTTGCTAAAGTGGGAGCTCTCCTAACCAAGCTCTTTGGGTGGAGATTTGTGTGATAGCAGATCTGAATTTCCGGATGTCACATAGTCCAGAGCTGATGCAGGAGTATGGGGATAATGGGCTATATGCACGCATAACTTCCGCGTTTGATGCAAGGATGCTCTTGCGTTTCCGGTTGGGGAGATTTAAAGCGGAGGAAAACCGAGGAAAACGGGATTATGGCAGAGTCTTCAAAATGTACTGTCCTCTCGTCTTTGAAACGAAACTTTAATACGTTTAGATGTAATTTTATATATAGTTATGTTTATTTAATATAATAAACAAAGAAGCATAAACAAAATGAGGGGTGTCTGTTTTGTCTGTTTTTGTGACTAACGTTTCTTTAGTATAGCAATAGAGTATAAAAAACAATATAGGCTAAATTCTCTGTATAGCATTGGACTCTACGATCGGCGGAAGTAATCCAGCATCCTTAGACCTTGGATGAATGGATCCAGCATCCAAATACCGCCGTGTATAGAGCCCATTGTGGTGGGAGAAAGAGCATTATGGCTCAGTCTCTCAGGCCTTTCTGAAAAAGTGGAGTTTCTTATATATATATATATATATATATATATATTTATTTATTGTATGTTAATGATTTAAAAATGGTCTGATAGTGAACTTTTTTTTATATGCAGACGATGCAGAAAATAATTGTTTCTCAAGAAAATGTTGAAAATGAATTAAGTAGAGAGATTGAAAGGGTCTCTAAATGGTTTATTAATAATAAGCTGTTTTTACACTTTGGGAAAAAAAACAAATCTATATTATTTGGTTCGGCTGCTAAATTGAAAAAAAGCTCCAGATTAGAGGTAAAGGTTGGTGACTTGATCATTACACCAAAACAGGAAGTAAAGTATCTGGGATGTGTATTTGATAATACATTGACAGGAGAAAATATGGCTGTTTTAGTTCATTCAAAAATATGTAATAGGACAACATTTTTAGCAAGACAGGCGGCTTTTCTAAATACTCAAACTTTAAAAACGTTAGCTGGAGCATTAGTGCAGGCACACTATGATTATGCTGCAAAATTTTGGTTTAGTGGTAGTACGAAGCGAACCAAAAATAAATTGCAGACTGCTCAAAATAAGCTATGCAGGGTAATATAGAAAGCACATCCACAGTTGCATCTAAATGACGAACATTTTAGAGAGCTTGGTTTTTTAAAAGTTGAAAAAAGGGTAACATTTCTTAAATTGGTGTTGGCGTTAAAAATAATAAAGAAAAGTGTTCCAAGGTAGCCTACCTGATAGATTATTACATGTGAAGAAAGTGCATAGTCATTCCACAAGGGGGAGTAGCACTGATATTTATCCTTGTAGATTTAAGGGGGATGAATTCCTTTCTATACTAGTGCTATAGCCTGTAATAATTTACCTTGTTGTATAAAGCAGATAAAAGTTGAAAGTGTTTTTAGAAAGCAAGTAAAAAAATGGCTTTTTTATTATTACTTTAAAAGTGATATAGAGTGAGATGCTGAACTTGATAGTGATTTTTCTCCATTTATGATCTGTTCTTACATTTTGTAAACAGAGGACCACAATGGAATTAAGCCTTTGGCCTTTTTGTGTATTTTATCCTCGACAGTTTTTCGAAATGATGTATGATCCCTCTTTGTACAAATTGTCTGTTTCAATATTGTCTAATAACCAACCAACCAACTTGATGACCCCATGGATCCCAAGGCACTGTTTGGCTTTACGGTCATGGCCATGCACCAACAGTGTCTTGTTCCTCACCAAATGAATGCGAAGGGTTTATAGGGTTTATATATAATATAAAGGGCTAGTAGGATTGTGAAATGAGTTGATGTGATTGATCCTTTAATTTAAATACTTATTTAATAATCAAATAACGACTAATACAACTGTCACCAACGCCACCTCGGATGCCTGCTAGTCAGAATGTGTAACTCCTGTTGTGGACGCGCTCCATGGCAACTAAACCCAATAAATTCACAACGATTTATTAAAATAGTGTTCTCATTATAATATAATGTAACATGACAGTCCCAATCATAGCTATTATAAGTCGTGCATTGCTGTTTGAGCTGTGCACTCTGAAACTGAAGCGGTAAATAAACACCGGCAAACTGAAGCCCTTTGCTAGGGGGTTATTTAACTCAACGAAAACCACATCCTATATTTGATTAAAAAGATATAGCCTACAAAATAAACACAATATTACAACTTTCATTTGCACAAAACAACAAGGCTGCGAATGCACAAGCAAACGTGTAGTCATGAAGGTGTAACTTTAGCCTTTTAAAGTAAAATGTTCCCAAACATAACTCCGGCGAGCTCGCTTCATTTTTCCAAATGTCTGCTTTACTTGTTTCACGGTTGACCTTAATCGACGAAAGATTAGTTTTAGCCTATATCGGTTAAATTAATCGGCAATTAATCGATCGTCGATTAATCGTTAGCACCCTAATTCAACTCATCACCAACCTTTCAAAAACCCTGCACTTGAGCTCTTCTTCCGTCTCTGAGTCCCGTGACAAAAATATACATTTTAATAAAAAGTAGGCTACTGTCAATGGTTTTTAAGGGCTTGCATGGACTGATACGACATGGACTTGCACTAGAGTATATTTCTGGCCTTTTACATCATTATCAAACTGCTAGACCTGCTAGAGATTGTGCCTTCGCTGTTGCAGCTCCATGCCTCTGAAACAGTCCCCTCTCCACATTAGATCTTGACACTTCTGAGTGCTTTACTTCTCATTTGAAGACGTATCTCTACTCTGTTGCGTATAACTGGCATTGGACTTATATTGTGTTATAGTTATATTGATTGTTTAAATGTGTCTGTATGTTAATCTTGGTAGAGTAAGGCTGATGAATAGAAATCATTTATAACATTATAAATGTCTTTAGGCTACTGTCACTTTTACACAATGTAGTGCACTTACTGAATGAAAGTGTTTTATTTTTTAAATCTTACTGACCCCAAATGTTTCAACCCTCAAAAGTTTTTTTATTTGTACACACAGACACACACACGCACGCACACACGCAAAAAACAAATTAGCTTGGCTTTCAGGATCTTTCTGTCATTTCCGTTCATATCTTTTTTTTTTACTATAACAAATAAAACTATAACAAATATAACTTTAATTAAACTGCATTTTATATATGATGCTCTGGGGGAGCTTACAAAGTAAAGTCTAACCCCTATCTCTATGATAGTTTACGAAGCAGTAGTGACAGAAATGCTTACCTCAGCAGAGTCAGCAGCACTCAGCAGTAATCACATTTTTGCAAGGGTTTACCGTTTTGTAATTCGAAGGAGCGCTTGTCGTTTCTGCGCATGCGCGTCGGGAATTGTAGCGACTTCCTGCCAAATAGTTGTCCCTAACAACACACGGCGCCCCACCGAGGGAATTTCAGTTCAAGGAAACATAAAGTTTCCTCGAAAGTAGCACTTGGTGAGATGGTAAGAGTTTCTTTCCCATTTGTGTGTCATGCACTGTGAATTTGAGTGCTTTAATGAGCGGTTTAGTCTGAAATGGTAAGGTCAGTGAGCCGCGAGCTAAATAACACACGTTGGCTAACTGCTCAAACTGTGCTAAACGCTACATGAACACAGCGACCACTGGAAAACAGTTTATGTTTCTCCTCCTATAGTATGTGCGCCAGCAGTGATAACGTTATGCGTGTTTCCGAACATGGCCACATTTAACATGTGTGGTATGTGGACATCTCCGGTGAAATAGACACAGTTTTGGAGAGAAACACAGATCTCAAATCCTTTTGATCTTCCTACCTAGGCAGCACTTTTCGGCGTCATGGGAGCAAAGCGTTGTTTTTGTAACGAAATACTAGAGTAAGATGTGAGATGTGTACTAGGCATAACAGTGTGCTGACAGTACACAATAACGTTACAACATAAACCTATCAAACAAAACACAATAGCAGGAGGATCACAATGCCAGGAGGCTTAGCTAAGTAATGTAAGTTTAAAGACATCCTCAACAACATACACTAAACACACAGGACTGACACTGATCAGCCATCCTTGAGTCAGTCCTGTGTGTTTAGTGTATGTTGAGGATGTCTTTAAACTTAACGTTACAACATTACTTAGCTAAGCCTCCTGGCATTGTGATCCTCCTGCTATTGTGTTTTGTTTGATAGGTTTATGCCGTAACGTTATTGTGTACTGTCAGCACACTGTTATGCCTAGTACGGATACACCAGCTCCTGCAGTCTAAGGATTCTAGCTGAGCTGATCTATATATTTATATCTGACATGGGTGTTTTTCAAACTAAAACTATGTATAGCCTTAACGGGCCTACATAAAAACAAGATTCAAAAATACTAATTGCCTTTTGTCATAATTTCTAAATGCAGGGGAAGTTATAACATTGAATTTTTTATTTTTTATTTTAGGTCAAGTAAGATTTTCTTTTTGTAATAAGAAAATGAAAATAAACCATAAAACCATTTATAATGTTACAAAAAAAATCTATTTCAAATAAATGATTTTATTCATCAAATAATCCTAACAAAAATGCATCACGGTTTTCACAAAAAATATTAACCAGCACAACTGTTTTCAACATTGACAATAATAAGAAATGTTTCTTGAGCAGAAAATCAGCATATTAAAATGATTTCTGTCTGAAGGATTATGTGACTCTGAAGACTGGAGTAATGCCTGCTGAAAATTTAGGAATAACTAATCACAGGAATATATTACTTTAAAAAATATATATTCAATTTTAGTATATAAAAATTTATTTGATCAAATAAATAACACATGACAAAAATGTTACTGATCACAAAAGGTATTGTAATTACTTTCTATTTTAGTTAAGTCATATTATGCCTTTGAAATAGAGTGGTGCAGGACATCACTTTGTTGGCCAAAACACATTTAGCACTTCGGTTTCCATCGTCCCGAAATCAATGGGTTTGTTTGAATGGGGTTTTGGTTAAATGGCTGAAATAGCCATCTGGGTAATTGGCCGAAAAAATTAACTCAGTCCGCTTTTACAGCATCATTATGGTTATAATTGTGCTCTAACAAACTATTCTAACTCAAATGTTCTGGGAAAATGTTTTTAGATAAAATCTGAAAGCGTTGTCAGAAGCTTAGTGATGGTGACGACGTTCAATTCAAGACGTTGAATTCCTTTTATTTGTATTTAGCCTTCATACAAACAAGAAATGTAAAATCATCATCAAATAAACTCAAGACTCTCAACTTATTAATTATCTAATATCTTTAACTTTAAACTATAAAATAGGCTAATTATATTTTTATAGATTGAAAGAAAAGTTGTTCAGCCAGGATAAAGAATATGAAAAGTGCTCAGAGTTGCAGAAAAAAAGTGATCAACAAAAAAACCCACTTGTTGCTGGGGCAGGGACATAAGTTTATGCACAACTTTTGTTTCAACTGGATTGAATTCATTCCGATTGATGAATCTGAATGTAGTGTTTACATGAACGTTAAACATGTGATCGGGTTGATGTGTGCGTTTGTCACAAGCTTCAAATCGGAATAGATTTTTTAAACATGCGCACACACTGTACAAATATACAGAGTTTCCCGCTGTTTGCGCATAATAACCACCATTCTCCTACATTGGTTCTTTATTTGTTTTAAACAGCAGACTTAATATATTCTGGTCATAATTTGAAGACAATGAACATGAACCGTTGTACCTTGCTGCTTAAATTTATCATGCAGTAAAAATGCCCCTACCCGCGCCCAAAACCAGTCGTCTGTGAATAAGAATACGAAAGAACAAGGACTGGTGGGATGTTGTCCTGCTCCACTTCATGGACACTGAGTGAAAAGAGAATTTTAGAATGACGGGAAATTTCAGTCGGATCGAGCTCAATCGGATCGATTAAAGGGATACTCATTCATTTTTGGGTGGAGTATCCCTTTAAGGTGTTAACATGAAGGCTTTTCAGTCAGATTGAGCTGTCAATCCGATTACTAATGGATTATTTGGTTGCATGTAAACGTAACATAGTATATTGAAATACATGAAATGTGTTTAAAAATCATATCACTGTTTTTGAGAAATATTATATTGTGATATAGCCTATATTGATATTGAATTATTGTCCAGCCCTAGCCAGGATACTATGTGACGTCATACCTGCACCACTCTATGCTTTTAATAATTGAACTTGTTAAATTAATTAATTATTTACTTGAATTAATTGTAGATAGCAAACTATTTAAATTAAGTGGACTCCTGCATCTGTATTTTATACATGCATAAGTAAATGTTTATGTGAACATTGACTTTGCTTGCAGATGTATTAAAAACTAGGAGCCTGAAGCTGAAGTTTAATGTCTGATGCTTTTGTATGTAGAGAACTTACTAAGTTCACCCAACATTTAAAATTCACAACAAAGATATTTTTAATGAAATCTGCAAGCTTTTTGTCCCTCTATTGACAGCCTATGCAACTACCACTTTCAAGCCCAAGAATAGTAGTAAAGATACATAATTAAATAATCCAAGTGGTTTAACTTCAATTTAATGAAGTGAGACGAGTGCTTTGTTTGCGGGAAAAACAAACATAATTTGCTACTTTATTTACAAAATAATAATCTCCAATGCGCGTTTACGTAACAACGTCTGCTCTTCACATGCATGTGTCATGGTGCTCTCGTGAACACATGTGTGCATGTGTGTTGTGCTCACGTGACGTGATCTCTCGTGCTCTCGAATATTGTTGACGTCAACAATATTCATTGTTCAATGATAATTATATAGAAAAAAAATTATTTGACTAAATAGTAATTATTGCCAATTAAATTAAAATGCTTAATACAAGTATAATAGAGTAAAATGTTGGTAAAAATAAGTGTTTTCATACTTTTCACGAAATTAACACAAGGAAGAATTATATTAATAAGCTTTCCTCTATTTGCACTAATTATAACAACAATAATTAAAACATTTAATCATTAAAAAAAATGAATAAAATTTGGGTCAATTAATTGAATCCAATTCCCCCTTATGCCATTCCAAACATATAATGACATTTTTTGAAAATGTTTTGAAAAATGCTGAATGGTCACGTACACGACTTGTGTGGAACGATCCGAAGCTCTGCCTATTCAGCGCCAAGGCCAGAAGACGACATTGTAAAGTGTGACATTACAGTGCAATTTTATTGATGTGAATATTCTCTAGAAATAAAAATTCCTGATAAAGCAAAAACATTTTTTGTAACTTTATGTATTTGATTATTCTTTCTTATCAGGTTCTACAAAAAGTCTAGTCACAATCAATCACAACAATGTTTACAATCATAGATGATTCACAAATAATCAAAATAGTTTATAAAACATTATGCGATAAAATTTCTAATTGGAGCCTGTACACTGTCGGTTCTTGCACCCAACAACTCAACAAGATGAAATTTTAAGCTCCTTATATAGCTGAATCTGTGCTGGTTTGTATTGGCTGCCTCCAGCTTTCCCTTTGTTTTGCCTCTAGGTAACGCCGTGATGTAATTGTGACGCCGGCGCAAAAAAGGTCTATAGATGGTTGACCAAATTTCTACATTTATTTCAAAAAGTGTTTCAGATTTTTGGTTCTCTTGTCTTTCCATTTCCACATCACGTTCCTGGGACATTGGGCTGTACGTTGCAAAAGCATTGCTCAGGGCTTCACGTGTTTTCCTAAACATTGTAGTCCCATATTTACATGAATGACGCTTTGGTAAGCGTCTGCTAAATTGGCTCAAGTGTAAGTGAGCGTCTGACCTGCTTTTTCCCTTTCCTGCTTCATATACCAATTATATAAATGCAGTTTAAAGAAGACATGAGGTGAATAAAATTAGGTTAGATCTTATCCTCGCCCACCCTTTGGATGTGACAGCTTGCGCAGAAACACCTAATACCTTCTTGATATAATCAGGAAAGAATACAAGCTTCCTAGTTTTCACCAAATGTAGGATAGTAAACATGTAAGGAGAGGCGGACATCTAATCCAGGCATGTGCGCTGAAGAGTGGGAGGGTACGGGGGAAACATCTGGTGCTTTTGTGGGGCACCTCACGTGCCGGTGCCGAGCTCACCTGCCTCGAGGGTGAGAGTGGGATTAGGCCCCGCAAGCCCCACTTTTTCCCCTGACTTTCCCATGATGCTCAGCACCGTGACCGGTAACACAGACAAATGACAAGGATCAACCCCAGTGAGGTGGAGAGCATATATAAAGATGTCTCACAGTGTTGGCTTATGTCTTTCACGCAGGGCTTTGGCCAAAGCAGCAGCAGCAGCAACTGCAGAGACTGACGGCGCGGATTTACTTGGGTGGACAGTGAAGACGTCATCTTTCACAGCCATGAACGAGTCGCAAGAGGTTCCTGAGCTACCTGTGAGTACACTGCACTGATATCTTTCATATTATCCGTATGACTGAATTTGTTCAAAACACAAATTTCATCATTCATTTGAAAATCTATTTTTTCAAGCATTAAACTTTTTAAATGTAAATATAGCTGTTTATTAATATGTATTGTTATATTGTTTCACTTAATCACACCAGTACAGGAATGAAGAAAGATACATGCGTAGCTGAAAAATAGAATGAATTTCTTCTTGTTTGGCATCAAGACATTTATTTTAGGTGCATTTTAATCGCCTTTTAGCTTTTGTATTTCATTAAAAAATAGCCCTGCAGTCTGACAAAAAGGGAAATTGATGAGGACTTTTCTTGAGTGAACTGCTAAAAAGACTTGACTAGTCGACTTGTTGATTGCAAAATTTCTGTTTAACGTTAATGAAATCAGTCGTTGTGCAAGATTATGTAAAGCATGTCACACTACTGGATGCTTCTGTCACTGCATGAAATGCTTCACATTATTATGTCAAATGCCATCAGCCACTGTAAATAAACACGCTGACGTAATATATAAATGTATGCTCTTTTTCTCTGTTGTTTTGATTGAATAGACAAAGAAAGCTCGGCATGATCCAGAAGTGAATCAGGAGGGTGATTCACGGTAAGTTCATATGCATTTTCATTACAGTGTATGGTTCATTACATGTTTTCATATGCATTTTTATTATAGGGTGTGGTGTATTTCTTATTTGTATGTGTAGCCTCAGCCTGCATATAGGCTATAGCATACTAGTTAAAGGGATCATTAACCCAAAAATGAAAATTTGCTGTTAATTTACTCACCCTCAGGCCATCCAAGATGTAGGTGACTTTTTCTTCTTCAGTAGAACAGCAAATCTTTAATGTTATGAGACAGCGTTTTTTTTATCAGGACAAACTTTTAAGGACTTATTTATGGATCCAGATTTAAAAAAAAATTTTTTTAGCACAATTACATTTAAAGAATATTTTATAGAATTGTATTAATTTTGTATATTTATTTATTTTGGTGTTTTTCATTATATTGGACTTGTCATATGTTGTTAAATGTAGGGCTGTATTCAACCAAAGAAAATCTTGGTCGACTGAAGTCCTGACATTTTCGACTAAAAATCGACTAAAAATTACGTTAGGAAAAAAAAAACCTTAAATTAATTAGCTGCGCACAGTGCGCAGTACTTGGTAGCCTTGCTGTCCGCCTAAATGAATTATAAATAAACATAAAAAACTAGTAGGCTGTTTGCAGTATATTAAATCGTTTTTGACCGAATTATTTTGCACTGAAATAAGTCTGACACACGAGTCTGTCGGCTCTAACAGCGTTGCATCACGTGCACCTGCGCAATATCATAGCCTATGATTTCCGAAGATAGTACTATGTTGTCAACTAGTAATATCATCACACGAACTGTTGAGGAATATGCAACATAATTTAGACAATTATTTTTGTCATATGTTATAACTGTCAGAAACTATCATTTCAGCCGCTCTGTGCATGTCCTCGCACAGGCTGAACATAGGAGAGATCAGCTTCGCGGCTGAGACACGAATAGACTATAAACTTAAAGCTTTTACTCTTAATAAACACACTTTAATAAAAAAAAGAATATTTATTAAACAAACCAAGAGCAGAAACGAAATAAAGTGCATAACTGAAAAATAAAGCATCTTAGGCTCAAAACTAACACAAACAGTCGGCATAGCGCAATCGCGCATTAGGCTCCAAACAAAAAATAACAAAGTTAGGTTATCACACTAAAACATTGAAATATGCAAATTCTGATTTGTTCATATAGCCTACTCAAAACAGACAGGGCAAGCTAACGCAGACAAGTGAGCTTACCACTTTTAGATGATATGTCATGTTTGTCGTCGAGGTGTGGTTGCTTGCACACTTTGCATTCGACCTTTTTCCCGTTATCAATTTTAACAAAATGCTGCCACACTGTCGATTTCTTTGTTGTTGACATGTTAGAAGAGGACTGACTATTAAACGCTCTCACAATTAAATAAATAATATTCAGCATCAAACCTTATAGCCTACTTATCGTTCTCTCTTGGGTTGGGCTAATCCAAAAAAGGTGAAAACAAGGGGGTGTTCTGAAGACAGACTGTTACCTGTGAAACAAGGGTACTCTGAAAACACCCCCATTAGCAGTTAGTGCTTTCCACCTGATGAAATGAGCGCGCCTCAGCGCGGCAAAACCATTTTTTACAGTCTATGGGCAAAACTGATGAAATGAACGCGGGGAAAAAATCGACCAATCAGAATTTTGGTCGAACCAGAACGTATCGACCAATTAATCGACTAGGACAATACAGCCCTAGTTAAATGTTTAATTTGTATCTGCCATGTAATAGCCGGTGATGCTGATATGGCAATAAACTCAAATACTACTACTACTATTGAAACCTATTGGTCCTCTGTGATTCATATAATGCAAGTCAATAGGTGCCATCACTTTGAGATTCAAAAAAACATGCAGACAAAACAAAATTAATACCCGCGGTTCCTGACAATACAGTGAGGTCTTAAGAAGCGAAACAATTGGTCTATGCAAGAAACTGAACATTATTTACAACATTATTTTTTAAGGATTAGACTGCTAGGATGTGAACATGCTATTCTAAGCAGTACAGATACAAGGAACTGGATATAAGATCATAATCTTGCTCTATTACTGTTGTGCCCTTGAGTAATTAAGGGGAAAGAGAAAGAACAAAGAGTGTCTTGTCAGAGTAAAGCATGATGTCCTTTTGGATAATTGCCCTTCTTCAGTCAAAATTCATTATCTTTATCAAAATGTCAGAAAATATTTAGTTTTAGAACAGCTAGCTAGTCTTTTAGCCACTCATGTGAAATCTGGAAGCTGACAATTTTCAAACCAAAACTCAGAGGCTCATTTCATGTTGCATTGTTGTGTTGTGCAACAACAGGACAAATTTCTAAAAGTCATTCTTTTGCAGTGTGGTTGCTAATGACAGCAGTGACTCCCCAAACCGGGACGACTCAACTGCACAGTCAGAAGTCAATTCATATCCACCATCATCTGTTGCTCACTTGCACTTAAGTAAGTAGGTTTCTGCTTTAATTTTCATCATCTGAAATACTTTGTTTATTTTAGGGTGGTAAAAGATGCATGTGTGTGTATTGTGCAGGGCAATAATATCAAATATATTTCATTGATTGTTTATGGGGCTGTCTTGATAACCGCAATATTGTAATACCGCGATACTGTCAAGCCAGCCCAATAGCAGAGGAATGCAAGCAACCGCCGCAACCGTGATGTTCACGTTTTTTCATAATGCTATACACTTCATGCGTGTCTATTGATTGTTAAATAATTTAATAACAAGAGTGAAGAATGTAAAAAAAATCCATCTGACTAATTAAGACTCTGTGTACAATTGTGATTTGTACAGAGGCTCTGATGATTTGCACTAAACAAGCCTAAATAGGCAGTGAGTGAAAGAGAGATCGACTGAATGCGTGCCATTACCTGCGTCTGTCCTTCTTCAGGTTAAGTAATTTATTCGTGAAAAAAATACGTTTGCCATGTCCTGAGAGGAAAGCGATGTTTGTCATAGCTTCCATTTAATGTTTAAGGGTATTTCGCATGAATGGCTTCAATTAGTGCTGCACGATTAATCATATCGCAATCGCTATGTCAAAATAAATATGAAATAAATAAATGCATCATGTGTGGACATGACAACCCATTCTCTCTGAGAGCTGTTTTTCTACTCCGCTAATACAAAGAAGACCAGTCAGTTTCGGTTTAGGCAGTGGCATGTGTGGCGCGTATGGTTATGTCGTGACTTTCTCCAGTGTACAGCGCGGAGAACAGGTGAAGATGGATGCCGAAGAGACGGACACTGAACTGGTGGCCAGAAAAAAATTCTAGCTCTGTTATATGGCGATATTTTGGCTATTAGATAACCGACACTGAGCAGAGAGAACAGGGCTCAGTATGAGACTCATGCAATTTACACTTTTCACACGCTCTCACGCCACACATCAATTTTCTCACGCAGAGAAAAATCGCAAAGCCAAGAGGACACTCACAAGACAGAGCAGGTTACTTTTGATATTAAACAAATTCTCAGCTCTCAGATTCTGTCAATTTTATTACGAAATTCAAACAATAGCGTTTTGGCACTTGTAAATGTGACGTGACAGATCGTGGTCGTGAACCGAACATCTCTTACTCTTTACTAGTTAATAGTAAATAAACACGAATGAGCAATAGGTGTGTTGAAAGATATAGTACAACTTACCGAAATGTTTATGCCTCATACATAATATCGATCAATCAGTGTTTTTCAACTGCGGAAAGAGGTCAGTAACAGCTGGAGAACAATGTCACATAACGTTACATTTACCTCAGGAAAGCCATTTGATAGCACGTTAGTTGGCTAGACAAGTTATATTTAGAAAGGGGAGTATTTTGCTAAATATGTGCACTATATTAAATATTTATTATATTTTTACTTGTATCATTAAAATATTGTAACATTGTAATTACAGCCTAGTAAAAACCACATTATTTTGAGTTGTTATTTTTAACCTTTAATAATAATACCAGCTGACAGGGCTCTTGTCAAATATTATTTTTTTATTTTTTTATTGAGAAAAATTAACATGCATCTACTGTACCTAATATTTATCCAAATTAATCAATATGGAATCAAAATCGGAATCAAATCACAAGATTTGAATTGAAATCGTGAAATTTGTGTCAAGCAATAATAAAAACCGTAGCCAACCTGTCATTGTGTACCATGTAAACATTGTGACATGTTGTCACTAAACTTAACAAAATTCTGTTTAGTTACCAAATGTTTTGACAATCACAATACACATCCTGCTTAAATGCCCCTGTTTGTCTGGACAGAATGTTTAAAATATCTTATTTTCATGAGCATACTTGTTCTTATTTATTGTTCTATTTATTTTATACTATTGTACTATTGAGACAATAACAAGTTTGCAGTAATGCAAAGATGTCATTATTTAATTTGCTGTGCAATTTAAGTTGTTGCTAGTTTGAGTTGAGAAATACACATTTCAGCATTATCACTGTGTGTGCATTTTCCTTGAGAACCAAGCAAACTCATGAAACCATTTGTTTATTATATCGCAATCGTAATATTGACCTCAATAATCGCAATATGACATTTTCCCCAAATCGTGCACCCCTAGCTTCAATGCATTGAATTAATGCTCTGACTGACGGCCTGTCTAGAAAACGCAAAGCAGTGCTTATGCTGGATACTGTTGGGAAATATCAGCAGTCTTAGCCTCTCTTCCAGTCAGATTCGAGGATCGGAACTAACTATTCTACATATAACAATAGCCAAACAAGCTTATTGTCAGTCAGCTTCATGTTCTGTTTTGTTGACCCTTATTTTGACTTTCTGTTCTGTTTCCTTTAGTTCCTGTTTCCCCGTTTTGTTTAGATTCGATTTCATTGGTTACTGATTATGTCCTCATTTGTTGAAATAGTTGCGTATTAGTTTTACATACGCCTAGTTAGGGCTGGGTGATAAAACGGTATCGGTATTTATCGACGGTAAACCATTGTCGGTAACGATATAAAAATGTTCGATATAGCGCTCGATATTTTCATTAAAATGAGCGCGCATCGCCCGTAGATTTAGGGGCTGTTCACATATCGCGTCCAAAAACGCGTGTAAAGCACGGTTGTGCCGCTTTCTCCTCCTTTCCAAAGCACTTGTGCTATCATGGCGTCTGTCCTTGCTATGCAACCATGAACTGCGCTCTCCACATCATGTTGACTGAAGGTGCGTTCTTTTCGACCGTGATTCGTAAGTGGACCACCACAACGTTGCCCAACATCAAATGGCAAACGTAATGAACGAAAACTGCCGCTACTCATTATTTTGTGCTTCACGCTCAGTTTGGACCAATGTCAGTGCAGCGCGAGCCGATCTTGATCAAGCGACACTTGTTACTACAAAGCGCTAAGATCCAGTAAAGAAAGCATTTGAATTCGCCACAGAAGTAATAACATCACTGCAAGATCTAGTGAGATGCATTCAAATGTCTCCATTATTAATGGATCAAACTGCGCTGATGAGGAAACCAGGAGAAACTTTGTGCCGTGAATGAGCTAGTTATAGAAGGCTTTAAGTCCACAAATCAGCAACATTCACCATGGATTTAATGTAGTAACACTAACTGTAACCAGCAATAGTAAAATGCTTTCAAGTACGTCACATGTATCTTTTTTTCCAGCACTTCAAAACTCAAATATTATCATATTTTAAATGTTATTTTTAATGTGATGACCAAAACATTATTTGTTCATCCTTCAAATATTACCCCATTTATAAAACTAAAAGTTTCAAGATGTAGGAAAGCTTACACTTATTTAAAATTAATTTTTCTTTTAATAAATATTTTATTTAAAAAAATCAAGGAAATTTCTCTGCCATTTCTTTCTTTTTGCTGTATCAAAACGTACGGAACCGTGACACCACTGTTACGTTACGTAATTTTGTGAACCATTACACTTATTACAGATATGTTGATGTACCTCAAAGTTGCCTTGATTGCCTACACTTTTACATTGCACACATTTTGTAACATTTTATTTAAGTTCAAGAGTTTCTTTAACACTTACTTTTTTATCTTAACATAATGCATAAAGAAGATATTTTTGTTTACAGTTTATTTTGTTTTGGAATGCTAAAACTAATATAATTTGTTGTTTGCCTTAATAATGTGGATTAAAAAAAACATTGGTTTAAATTCAAACTTTTCAACTTGTCTTTAAAAAAAAGGTTATAAAAAATGTCAATAATTATCGATATCGTACGATATGAAACATTATATTGTGATAATTTTTTTAGCTATATAATATCGCACAGCCCTACGCCTAGTTTACTTTTCTTTTGTTCTACCCCTGTTTATATAGCCTTGTGTTTCAGTTGTTCTTTTTTACATTGTGTGGTTTGCATTATTCTCCTGTCTGTTCATTCAGAGAGTTTGGATTTTTAATAAAGCGGGTTTTATTTTTTGAATCTCAGTCTTTGTGCCTGCTGACCACATCGTAACACTTATAGCAAAAAAAGAAAAATAATCTTTAAAAAATGACGATAATATTGCAAATCACGCTATTGAGCCACTCAAAATTCACGCAAGGGAAATTCTTTCACCGCGACATCCCTAACCATTTACCAACATTGTGAATATTGCAATGATTTTAACACCTTTTTTTATTTGTCCATTAAGTATGAGAGTGATGGGACAGAATTCACATTTCTGATTTACACATCAGGAGCATTTTTTTTTTGCTGAGAATTCATTTTTCCAAAAAAATTTTGCATACTCATTTGAAAATCTATTTTTACAAGCTTTAAAGTTTTTAGTAAAGTACATGTAAATATTGCTGTTTGTTTATTACTATGTATTGTTATATTGGTTCATTTAAATTCTAAAATTATAGACTTAATCATAAATAAAAACAGTGTAAAAAACATACTTTGGTCATTTTTACTGTTTTGCTTCTTATATTACACATTTTAAAAATATTTTGTTGTTATATTTGCTTTATTGAATTGATGGTTCATCTGATTTACATAAAATAACACTTATGTTATTTTATTTTAGATAGATATTGAATATTAAACAACTCTAGTGCACCTACGTGCACGCATTTGACGTGCAAATATAATCCACCCCCTTAATGTCTCCAGCAGTGCCTGGAGGTCAAGATCAGTCAAATCAAGAGACGATTTCAAGATCCCAGGGCTGTGTCACAGAAAATGCATATACTCACAATGGTAAGGCCCATTTATTATATCAGGACAAGAGATACTGTCTTGCTCAGACATTGATTTAAAGCATAATGCACCATTGTTCCAAAACTCCGTTGTTAACAGCAGTGACGTGCAAAGACCTTACCACAACCACAGCCACTGAATATACCTCACAGATCTACCAAGGAAGCAAGTAAGTACTGAAAGTTATCTTAAAACGGGTTAGTAGTTTAAAAAAACAAAAAAATCAGTCATCTGTTTAATAAAACCTGAACTGAATAGTCAAGCATGTCATTTGGAATCAATATGGGATCATAATCGACCCTCTTTGCTTGCTTAAGAAATTTACTTATTGTGCATGTACATAATGCATCAATAATGTTGTTTCAATCCATGATAAGGTTGTTCTGTTATGTGATATATATACTGTATATATAGAAAGCAAATTTTAGGTGTAAAAAAGTTTAGGTCTAATGAAAATTAGGTGAAAGTTATGACTAGGGGTCATAACCAGGGTTTTTCCTGCATATTGAATTACGAGGCGGCCGCCTCCGTCAAATTTCGTGCCGCCTCCGGCTCTCGACAAAACTCGGATAGACAGTCACATACTCAGATACACTTTCTCCACCGTGACGGTTCTGTTGCGGGTTCCCGGCCTGTGTCCGGGTGGGCCAAGTAATAAAAACATTACATTCAAATTAATCGAGGGTGGATGACAGATATTATAATGCGCTGATTTTAATAAAGACACGGAACTCTCATCACGGTAAAACGCAACGATCGAGCGTCACTCTTTTACTTTCGTTTTCAACAACATAAAACCAATCAAGGAAAACTAATCAGGGCATTTAATACAGTAATTATTCAATGTAAATTATTTAATTTGATTGGTAACAGCCTAGTGTCTTATTATTCTGAATGAATGTATTGATTACATTTAAGGATATTTTTAATGAAAGATGGAGCATACATAAAATTAGAGGGAAAATGCCCTATTATAAAGGTATAAAAATTATTCTGATAAGAGATTTTGCCAACAGTGATGTAATGAAAGAAACATTGACAATTTAAGTTTGAAGGAGTAAAGCCTCTGTTTAGGCTATTAAGGAAATGTAATTTTGCCCAAAGAAGAACTTTTAATTTAAATAAATGTTCATTTTAAATCAGCCTACTTCCGTGTGATATTTTACCATATTATCATGCTTAACACTGAGAATTTGAATAATTGCAATGTGATGATCAGATGCAGATATCTAAATCAAAGAATATCATAGGTTCGAGCAGTTGGCGGGTGGATTATTTTTAACAGCGGATTCGAGTGACTCTTAAATGCACCAGATTAATGAATTTATCTTTAAAATGTACTAAATTTTCTTCCTGGGGGGGGGCATGCCCCCGGACCCCCCTAGAGGTACCGAGCTCCACCCACAAAAATACTGTGGGAAACACAGTAGGCTATATGATGGTCTATGAAAAATACAAATTAAATTATCTTATTATTAAAATACATGATCAGGATTTTACTGCCTCCACCTAGTTTTGAGCCAGGAAAAACCCTGGTAACGATACCCTCATGCACGATTCGCTACATATCACGATACTGAACTCACGATAGTCCAAGACGTATGGTAAAAGGTTAACAAAAAAATGTACTGTTGATTAAAATGCTAAATTTGGTATTACATTGGGGGGTGGAAATAAATAGGCTTGGACTCGGTGCTGGTAACCCAAAGCACAGGACAATGGTGACACCTGAATAAAAATATTCATGATTCTGAAGCTGAAAATACAGAATTATTTTAGAAGAATATGCTTTCACTCTGTTACCGACTAGATATATTTAAAATAATATAGGCCACTTTTTACTGGTAACATAAGACATTTGGCACTATCAGGACCCACAAATATTCCCCCATTGCATTATATACAATATATTCAACATTATATATAGTAGTTTAATACTGACACTAAAACCCTGTAAACTTTTTTTTCTTACACAGTAATTTTTATTTTGGTTGAAGTATGCGCAATACAGATTGCCACTTCCAATGACACATTTACATTTGTGTATTGCGATGTATTGTTACACCCCTAGTTATGACATTTTAATGAAAGTTTTTAAGCGCATTTGGTTTTCTTTAAAATAACATGCACAGATGAATTGTTCATAAGACCAGGAACATTATTAAGAAAGTAAATGGTGTCAGTTTTGAATGCATGTTGACTAAGCTCATGCCACATATTGAACAGACTGCGCCTTCATTTGTTTAAGTCAAATAAAATAAAATCGTCTACCCAGACTAAAGTCTATAGCAGCCTCTCTAAGTACAGTGGTGTTTTTGAATGTTCAGCTATTAACTCTCCTCCATTATTCTTCAGCACGGCTGTCACTGCATATGCCAGCCAAGGGGCTTTCCCCTCCCTGGGCCAGTCGACCGTATACAGCGGCTTTCCTCAGTCCGGCCAGACGTACGGACTGCCACCATTTGGTCTGTGCTTCACCCAGTTGCTGTCTGTGCTTTAATTCATCTGAACACTCATTCCACTTAAACTCTCACCCTGCATTCACACTGTACGCTGGCAGTCAGATCAGTTCACGTCTACATTACATCCAGTTCTTAACCTCCCTCTAATCACCACTTTCGTCTCTGCATCCCTTCTCTCCTCCACTCTTTGCCCTCTCTTGCGCCATCTATCCATGCACGGCCTCAGGCTCCATGTGGCCGGGCTTAAAGACCGAGTCGCGGCTGCCCGAGGCGCCCTCTGTTGGCCAGACGGGGTTTCTCAGCTTCAGCTCAGCCTATACTTCAACCCAACCCAACCAGATCCACTACTCCTACCCCAGCCAAGGCAAGCCTGCTACTGCTCTCTGTGTGTGTCTCTACACGCTCTCTGCGCCTCACAGCCTTATCATTACAGGACTTCTAAGGACAAAGATCTGTCCAGCTCCATCCGCCAAAACCTTTTCATTAACACTCATACAGCATTTCATTCAGAAATATTTATCATGATCGCCAATCATTTTTAGTACTGAGCTGTTTACTGCATGTCTTTTTGGCATCCTTTATAATAATAATTCTTCCCCATTCAGGTTCCTGTTTCACTACATCCAGTGTGTACACTAATATCCCCCCAGGAACTGCCGTGACCACAGCCACTGGCACACATCAGGTGAGTGTGGAGGAAGGAACTCAATTCTGGAAAGGACAGAGTAACTAATTTGAGGATGCTGTTGATGCATCTTGGATTAGATGGACACTTTATTTGACCTAAGTTGAAGTCATATTTTGTTATACTGGTTGTCTCACTTTAACTACAATTTCTGTAAGTCTGTAGATGCAATGCTCTGCTCATTTAGTTAGCTGAGGTATGTGGAGATGTCATGACTAATACATTATACAGTGTAGAACAAAGTTAAAAATGCAAAAACACGTTCTTGATCATGACATGTTACAATACATTTTTTTATGAAGTGATTAAAAAAAATAGAAAAAGAAAAAATAGATAGAAACGAATATATTATTTTTCTGAGAATAGATTCTCAGATTTCAAACAGTTAATTATCATTTCAACCAGTACATTTTGACAGACTTATTAGACTTCAGAAAAGTAGGTTGTTTAACATATGGAAATGAAAGCTTGAAACAATCAGTTTGCTTTGGTTACTTTTTGTTGAACAAACAATAACCATGATTTTAATTTATATGAATGCTGTATATTGTTTCTGAAGAGTGGTCGCATTTCTGATTTCCCCTTTTTATTTTTTTTAGGAGTTTTCAAATTACAACTCTCTTGGCCAGAGTCAGTTTTCCCAGTACTACGTTCCTCCTCCCAGTTACCTGTCCGCTGGGCTGCCCAGCAATGATAGAGATGGAGCAGGTGTAGTGGCACCTGGATATCCAGCCATTAAGACAGAAGGCAGTGCCTCTGCAAACTTGCCCAACACAACAGGTGTGTTTATCATTTTCTCTCTGAAATTTGCAGTAAACCTTTTCAATTTAAAACTTTCTATATACAAGTACTAGACTTTTTATAATTATATTAAATATAATTTATAATGGTGTCAGTATTTTTTTATTAAGAAAATATTTTTATTCAACATGGACACATTAAATTGATCATAAATTACAGTAAATAAACGTATAATGTTACAAAAGCTTTCTAATTCAAATAAATGCTGTTATTTTGAACTTTCTCATCATCAAAGAGTCTTGAAATAAAGATTTTCAACAAAAATATTAAGTAGCTGTAAACTGATAATAGTAAGAAATGTTTTTTGAGCAGCAAATCAGCATATTAGAATTATTTCTGAAGGATCATGTGACACCAAAGATTTGTCACCACAGGATTAAACGATTTAAAAATTGAATTAAAATAGAAAACAGTTATTTAAATTGTAATAATATTTTACAATATTATATATTATTGTTTGTACTATCTGTGATCAAGTAAATGCAGCCCTGGTGAGCTACAAAAGACAGATGTTTAAAAAAAACATTATAAACTATTTTAATAAAGTTTAATTAATATATGAATTCATTCATATAATGATTTGAATATAAATAATAATAATGATTTGAATGTAAATAATAATAATAATTTCAATAGTAATTTTTAAGTTTTAATAGTAAATGCAAGCAAAAATGTTGCTCTGTACAGGTCCTTGTCTAGATCATTTTGTCATTGTGAATGCCCCTAATTCTTCTCTGGCTCTCACTGCTGTTCATATTTATGCTCATTCCTCCAGATGCATCCCCAGGTGTGACGCTCCCAACTGGTGTGGCTCTGCCTGCTGGGATGGCCCTTCCCACAGGAGCACAAGACCAGGACGAGCCCAACCGCAAAAACCCTCCTAGCAAAGCTAAAGGCAAAGCCAAGAAACCAGACGGTTCCCAGTCCACAGACAATGACCTTGAGGTAATGCAGCAGCCTGCATAGTTTTAGAGACATATTCTAACCTCTAAAAAGGTATGCCCATGTCGAAACTAAATAGAAACCCCTTGCAACAGCGCTGAAAATTTAACTTTTACTTGCATTGCATTCTGACACAGTAAAGGTTTAGTTCACCCAAAAATCAGTCCCTCCAGAAAAACGCGATTATGCGACCGCTGAATTCAATGCATAATCAGCCAAAGTCCGCATATTTATGCGGGGGTCGCATTTTTCAAATACTCCGCAATTTCGCCGCATAAATTGCTGATTTCCGTGCAAAATGTGCAGGGCTTGCATGATTTCATAACCTCCGCATTTTCGCCGCAAAAAAGTCACATATATCTTAGCAGAAAGTTGGAAAATGTTGCGTTTGCTTCACACAAGAGCAGCCATTTCCCCCTGCTGCCATGGGAACGTTATGAAGTGACTTAATTACGCGACGTGAACATCATCGAAAAGCTGTAAAACAGGAGCACACTTTATTTTTAAAGATTTCATTTATTCATTTTTACTGAAGTTGTAGCATATAACTCTAGTAAAGCTACAGAACTTGTTTGACTCATCAATGTTTTGTAAGTTTGATGTGTTTATTAAGGTCTTGTAACGCGTTGTGTCGGGAAGAAAAATAGGGATAGCTCACAGCTGAAGTTATTGCAGAGGCCAGACAGACTCACGGAGGCGATTGGCATCTCACAACTCGCACTTTATTCCCAAATCGAACTCGTAACTGTCTGTCACATGTTCAACCGTCCACATCGTTACTTAATAAACAAAATAAGATAAAAGAAGCAGCATCAAACAGAAATTACCCGCACACATGGGGTGTTCGAGGTGCATGGCACATACAATATAATACTGCAGACAGTTCAACAGGGAGCGCGCAGCTCTTAAAGGGGCCACACCTTATTTCTACTCGTTACAGTCTGAAATAAAACAAGATGAGAAATTAAATATTTCCAGCACTTTCTGTGATGTAGTATGCTTGCTTATCATAGGAAGTAATAAGAAAGGACTCTTTACATTAAGGTAGTAGCCTAGTGAGAACACGGTGTTGGCGGAATCACTTTATTTTCTCTGTTTAATCAAACCTTCACCAATCATCAAAGTTCCCGCAATTTTTGCATGTTCCCGCAATTTCATCGCAAAAAATTGCATAAATATCCTGCATATTCCATCGCATTTTTAAAGAAAACGGGCCGCGTAATCAAGGATTTTTGCCCGCAACAATCACAAAAAAACTCCGCGTTTTTCTGGAAGGACTGAAAAATGAAAATTCTGTCATTTACTCACCCTCAAGTTGCTCCAAACCTGTATGTATTTATTTCTTCTGCTGAACACTAAAGAAGATATTTTGAAGAATATGGGTGTTGCAAACTCTTGTGGTCTAGGGTTAAAAAGTAACATTGAGATTATGATTTAGAGTGATGGTGATGGCAAGAGACAACACGAAACGAAGTAATGCAAAAGGAAAGTAATTTATTATACATAAGTGAAAATAACTACAACAAAATGTGGGTAATAATAATGATAATGAACATAAACTAAATATTTACAGATCAAAGAAATATCAGATAAATTAGTAAACCCAAGAGAAACAGGGATGCAATTAGTGACGCCAAAGAAAAGAACAGAAAAAAAAACTGTAATTTAATCTCTAACCAATCAATTGATGGCCCCCATTGACTAGTATAGTATGGGGGAAAAACACCATGGAAGTCAATGGGTTTCATCAATTATTTGGTTACCGCCATTCTTCAAAATATATTATTTTGTGTTCAGCAGAAGAAAGAAATTCATACAGGTTTGGAACAACAGGAGGGTGAGTAAATTATGACAGAATTTTCATTTTTGGATGAACCATCCCTTTAAATTGAGCTTGCTTAGCTAAACAGAGGGTCAGCTTTACAATTTATTTATATTTGCTGAATGTACAAAATAAAGTGATTAATCATGAGGTGAACATAATGGATTAGGCAACAGCCAAGTGCAGCAAACATGACAAGTATTTTTCTTTTCTCAGCGTATCTTCTTGTGGGATCTGGATGAAACCATTATCATTTTCCACTCTCTTCTTACTGGTTCATTTGCACAGAAGTTTGGCAAGGTACAGCAAATTGCTTTTTTTGTAATCTTAAAGGTATTTGCAGTTGATTTGTTGATCTTCTGTTATTTTCTCTTTTCACATTCTTGTTGTTTTCTGGGATGGTTTTATTTATTCAGGACCCAGCAACAGTTCTCAATCTGGGTCTTCAGATGGAGGAGTTGATCTTTGAGCTTGCAGACACGCATCTCTTTTTCAATGATCTGGAGGTAAGTGTAGCGGAACACAAGGGTCAGTTTGCTGTCTGTTAGGTTCATGAAAATAACATTTACCTCTGCTGTCAAAACAGGAATGTGATCAAGTCCATGTTGATGACGTTGCCTCAGACGACAATGGGCAGGATTTGAGGTAATGAAACTTGAGCTTTCCAGCAACTTCTTACACCAGCAAATTGCGTTTCACTTGTGTTTTGCTTATATCCTTAAAACACATTTTGCTGTTGTGTGAAAGCTCTTTTTTTGTAATAGTTTTTCGATTAGTCTATATTGTATCTATCTAATATTGATCATTCTGGCTTAGCAACTACAACTTCTCTAGCGATGGCTTTAGCGGGCCCAGTGTGGGCGGTGGTCCGGGTTCCACTGCAGCGGTACAGGGAGGAGTAGAGTGGATGCGTAAGCTGGCTTTCAGATATCGCCGTCTCAAAGAGATCTACAATGGATTCCAAGGGAATGTGGGAGGTGAGAGTGTGTCTCGTATCTCTATTTCAAACCCCGCTGCATGTTCACACAGGCAGGGTCCTCGCATGTACTTCAAACTTCTTAAATTAGGTTTTATCATTATCTTAATCCTCTGGGGTCTGAGGTGTTTTCTGGGCCCTGGAGGTGTTCTGACATGCTCTGATATTTATGCTTTTTTCTGATACTTGTGACATTTTCATGGCTAAAGTCTGATTACACTGTATTCAGCACAAACTCTGCTACAATAATATTTCAGCAGCATGTATGTAAAAGTTTTTAGTTTTGAGATAATGACGTTTATGCGTGGTTTGTGAAAAAAACAAAAAAAAATTGTCACTGAAATAAGGTCATGAAACTCATACCAAGTATTTCTTCACAAGACTTTTGAAAATTGTATCACATAGCCTAGAATATTTGCTTCAAAAGTATGTGAAAATCATCCTGATTACGCATTCAGATAAGTCAATAAAGTCTTGTATGACTTTGTATGACGTGTTTTGTGTAAGAAAGCTTTATGCGGGGAGGCGTTAACCAACCATTAATATTGATGGGTTTGACACCTGAGAAAGACAAAGACCCTCCCCTAATGGCCCTATTAGGTGCTATCAGGCCCTATCATTAGGAGCCTTGCACAAAGCATGAAATTTAAAAAATAATGGCTTTTAGATTGTTTGGATTTATTTACAACACAACGTAATCCAAAGATACACAACAAAGATTTTTCACTTAACCATGTTCATGTACAGAGTCTCCTGTGAATGTTGAAGTCAGCAGGACTCATCAGTGGGGCATCTGGTCCCTGTAAAAAAATAAAATAAACACCTGTGAACATGCTGATATCAAGAGAAACTATAGGGCTGCACGATTTTGGGAATACATTTTAGATTTTTCTGGTTAAAATTATTATTAAATATATATAAAAACACCAAGTTTGCTGTGCATTTGTTATAGCCTATGTGTAGGGCTGCATAAAATAATAACAGATAGATAGCAGGCAGCCTATATATCGTTAAAAAGTACACTTCAGTAACACTACACTAGACAAAAATATATGGATTATCATGTTACTTCCAACATTGGCATTCGTTATGAAATGAGATTGGAGAAAAACACGAAGCCTAATGTTTGGCATGTTTTGCTTTTCAAAACCACAGCGCGTGCAGAGAACGTTTACTGAAGCGATCGAGCTGCTCCAAACTATGAAACAGTATTCTTACCATATTATGAAACATTATTCTTACCATATTATACATATCTACGTCTGAGCAGATATACACAAACACAGTATTTAACAGTAAACACGGGTCTAAACATTATAATATTCACCATTGAAGAATAAGCCTTCTTTATATCATGCTGTGCTTAATTATCGAAGATAAAAACATTCTTGTGTGTACATGTATATTCATTTAGCATTAGGCTTCATGTACTCCAATCTCATTTCATAACATTTTAGTCTAGCACCAGTTTAACTAGTAGCTACAATATAAAGTATATACAACCATAAGACGTTTATTATGTATCTTACCTTAAAAATCGTTCTCATAATCAAATCGTGTTCTTCTAATTCTTCTGTGGCAAATCCAAGGTGCACAGACCAAACACTTCCAAACTCAACGAAAAGCAGAGCAGGGCTGAATAAGCTATGTGAATAAGTCGCGATTCTTTGCTTAGAGGTGATGGGGGCGGTAACAGCTCTGCGTTCCTCCGCGTGGATCATTTGAATTTGAACAGCTCGCACGCGCGTGGGCGGGGTCACATTAGAGTCAATGAGCTCGGGCTGAAGAAACTGTACATGTCGTTGCTTTCATACGAATTACTTAAACAGAGAATATTTGTTTTTGGTATGATTTACATCATTTAAAAATGGAGACTTAAAGCTTTGTAAAGACATAACTCTCACGTGTGGGTGGCAAGTATTTGCTGAGTTACAAATCATTTTATGTCGCGTTTCAGAATGAACTTTACATTGAGAGAGACGACAGAACGCGCATCATGTTTATTTTCTTTATTTTACGAAAAACACAACATTTTGTTTTTATTATTAGTGTACACAAATAAAAGTAAACATTTAACAGTTTTGAATGATGTATAACACTTGCCTGTATCACAAAAATCGACAGAGTTATTTGAGTCTCTTTTGCACTGATAAGAAAAAAAGTGAGCTGGCAATACCGCTGACCCCAGGGGGTTTAAATATCTCTAAATGGTATGAGAAAAGTCGGCACTAAATCTAGTCGGCACTATCAACTTTTAGGACTAAGGAGAGTATACTAATCTAATTTTGATTTTCTTATATTCATTTTTTGTATTTCTCGACATGTGATATTATATTATATTTCAAGACATGTGATATTATATTATACAAAGTCCAGTAGTATCTTTAAATTACTGCATGTTATATATATATTATAATATAATTTGTTTTAATTTCAACATTGCTGTTTTTTAGGTCTGCTGAGCCCAATGAAGAGAGACCTACTGCTCAGGCTTCGCTCAGAGATTGAGACCGTTACAGATGCTTGGCGGAGCACTGCCCTCAAATCTCTCTTGCTTGTACAGTCAAGGTAAGATTCACTAAACCTGCATCTAGGGCTGGGCAAAAAAATAGATTTTTCAATTACCGTATTGTTCAGAATATAAATGTTTTCTTTTCTTAGAAATGCATCTGAAAATATGGTCCTCTTATATTCAGGGTCTAGACCTTTACTTGTCAATTATACACAGGCCGCAACAATAAGGAGCGCAAGAAGTCAGGCAGGGGAACCAGCAACTAAGGAGAGGTTATGATGCCTGGGAACCATGGAAACAGGGGGGAGGCATCACGATGTTTAGCCGATGCCGTCTAAACATCGCGATGTCTGTCAGCCATCACGATGATATCGTCCATCGGCCCAACCCTAAACATAATCCATCTCCGTTTCCCAAAAGCGTCGCAATCCTAAGTAGATCGTAGAGCCTTTGCCACCAATGGTCTCTACGATCAACTTACTATTTGTATTAAATCTATATTCATTGAATCAAATCGAGAACCACATCGATATTCGAAGATAAATAGAATTGAATTGATTGACCTGGAATTAAATTGAATCAGGACATCTGTACCTATTACCCATTCCTATTGCATCTGTCTCTGTTCTCAGAGCATGCATGATTTACAGGAAATCATCAGATCCGCCTCTAGGCATTAAACACTGTGTGAAGTGCTAGAGCAACATGCTAAACCGGTTTCTCTGTGCGGATATGTCGGCTTAAATCAATGTAGTGTACAACGCTAACATTGGCTAATTGTTTGTTCACAGGGGCAGATGTATGAATATTCTGGTCACCACCACTCAGCTAGTTCCTGCTTTAGCTAAAGTGCTTCTCTATGGACTGGGTGACGTCTTTCCCATCGAGAACATCTACAGTGCTACTAAAATAGGTAACCGTTTTGGTTTACCAAAAATAAAAATTCAGACCCTCATGTCATTCCAAAGCCTGATGGTCCACACTTGCAGAACACAAAAGGAGAATATTGAAGATTAAAAAATTGTTTAAACTGCTGTTTTTTCTATACAGTCACCAGGGGCTGTTAAGCTCCAAAAATGTAAACTAAACTACAACCGTATAGACCTTCAGCTGTCAAAACTTTGAAAATAAACATTTCCACATACTAACATTTGACAAAAAAAAATCTGTTGGAATAATAATACATCACCATAGACCATAAGATGTCTTACGTAGACTTGGAATGAAGGTTTAGCTCATTTTGGAGCTTTCATCCACTTTCATCATTATATAGAAGAGTAGTGACAATATTCTTTGAAAATTCACCTTTTGTTTCAGGGTATGAAAAGTCATATGGTTTTGAACAACCATGAGGGTTAATAAATGATTCCAGTATGTTCATTTTAAACATCCTTTCCTTTTAAAATCATTGGTATGAAACTGAAACTGAGCACAAGCGTAAATTTACACATGGTATATCTAACATTTGTTAGAGTAACGCTGAATGACTCGTTTGTTAACAGGAAAAGAGAGTTGCTTTGAACGCATCATCGCTCGCTTTGGGAAGAAAGTGACCTATGTTGTTATAGGGGACGGCCGTGATGAAGAGTTTGCAGCAAAGCAGGTACAATACCAGCATTTGGACATACAGTATACATAATCCTGTCAACGTGATCACATCACAATATAATACCTCATATTATGCAATTGCAAGAGATTCCTAATGATACTGCTATTCAGGTGTTTCCAAACTCTTTTTTTCTTTCAAACTCTATGATCTAAATTATTTACTTAAAGTATACCCTGAGGTACACTACCGTTCAAATGTTTGGAGTCAGTAAGATGTATTTGAAAAGTCCATTATGATCACCAAAGCAGCATTTATTTGATAACAAAAATTCATTAAAACAGTTGTTATAAAACTGTTTTAAATAACTGTTTTCTCTTTGAATATATTTTAAAATGTAATTTATTCGTGTGATGGCAAAGCTTAATTTTCAGCATCATTACTCCAGTCCTCAGTGTCACATGATGCTTCAGAAATGATTCTAATATGATGATTTGCTGCTCAAGAAACATTTCTTACTATCATGGTTGAAACTGTTGTGCTGCCTCATATTTTTGTGGAAACCGTTATACTTTTTTTTTCAGGATTCTGTTCAAAAGAACAGCATTTATTTGGAATAGAAAACTTTTTGACATTTTAACATTATGAATGTCTGTAATGCCGTTTGATGCATGTGTGCTAAATGAAAGTATTAATTTTTTCCCCAAAAAATCTTACTGACCCCAAACTTTTGAATGCTAGTGAATTGTCATGTTTTGACTCTCCCAGTTCAATAGACCTGACACAGTTTCACAAGTGTTGCTTTTTTGTATTGATTTTACATTTAATACATTTTATTGGGCAATTCTCTCAAATTTATTCTACGTATTTGTAATCTAACAAGTTTGCACTATCACTGTTTAGCACAACATGCCATTTTGGCGAATCTCTTCACATGGAGACCTGATTTCCCTTCACCAAGCTCTGGAACTGGACTTCTTATAGATTGAGTTGGAGCTAAGACAAGGATCTCTGTTTGCACCCATCAGCAATCCCATCCACCCATCCTTATCCATCGCATCAGTGGAGCAGCTGAAGTAGAGTCTGGAAAATTAGCGTTCATAGACAAGAACTCAAGAAGATCTGAGACACGACACGATCTCAAAAGCCCTCCACTCCCTCAATGGCAGCTATCCTCCCCCTAGGTTGAACCTTGCACTGGGACAACACCACCGTATGTGCGGAAAAGAGGAAAACACTGTCTCCCATTCTCACTGCATCTTTCTCTTGGAAAAAGGATGTAGCTTTACCATCTTCAACGTAACTGGATTCGCCAAAGGAAAAAAACATGACCAAATGTCTGCACTGACACAGAAACTTAGGAGTGAACTTAGTTCTCTTTTCTTTTTTTCAAACTTTTTAAAGGGCTTTAAAGTCATTTTGATTTGCGCTCATTCCAAAGGTCAGGATATTGGTTCTTATGAGATGGCAGGTTACATGCTTTTAGACGACTCCAAGAAATTATGCATTTTTTTTTCAGTTCTTAAAGCGGATCACTGACCCGTTTAATATCTGTCTTCAGATGGTACCTACAGGGTTTAGCATAGATCACATTTCATTGTTACTGTATGTGTATGAATTTTCCTCAGTTCCAGGGGTCTGCATGCATTTTTACCCTTCATACACACTTAATTTCTGCTTTAAATTTGGCAATATTATAAATTAGAGAGTGACTAAGGGAAACCATAGTTCTTTAAGTATATTTTGTTCCTTTTTCTTGAAAGAATTAATCACACGAAAATGAGAATTGTCATCTTTTGCGTTTCCTTTGTTCCGAACCTGTTTGATTGACTTTTTTTTGTGAAGCACAAAAGGAGAATGTTTACGCTGCTCTTTTCCATAAACTGAAATTTCCCAAAATCACCATAAAATAACTAAAAGAAGTCAAATACGTCTACCATGTTATTTGATTGAAGTCACGTGATGAGCAACCTGCCTAAATCTTTTTTTATTTTATGAATGACTTAAGAGCTACAGCAAAGGGGAAGGCTGTTTGTGTATAACTTAAGTCTATTTCAGTTATGAGACTGAATCAACTGCTCAACTTGGTGTGACGTTTCTTTCCCTGCTGTGTTTGTATGAACAAATTCAATTGAGATTTCAGAGCTATGACAGAGGGGAGGATTTTCAATAAATGGCTTACTAAATTTGAGGCTTTTTTTGATGACTTTTGGATTGCAGAAGCAAAATCCCTACTCCCTTTAATTAAATGGAAAAGAGCAGCAGAACTCCTCCTGTTTTGCGTTCCACAGAAGAAAGTTATATAGGTTCGAATCGACATGAGGATAAGTAAATGATGAGAATTTTGAACACCTATCCATATAAAGGTGTTGTTTTGAGGGAAACTTAAGCTCCTGGAAGTAAACGTCCCATTAGAAATATATCTGTTAAATGTCTATAATGCAATTACGAGCCACATGAACTAATTGCATTCTTGTCCCCTGAGACAAGTCGTGTGGCTGAGTGGGATTTTGTAATATTACCTCTTGCATAAAGCCAAAATTACCCATGGATTTGAAGCTACGGGGCCCCAGCCTGTGACCTTTTTCTTTCGTTCATACGTGTTTGGGAGAACAACTGTGTGATAGTGTGCAATACATTTCTGATCAGTGATAAATGATTGTTTCAATTATGGTTGAAGGTGGTTTTACGAGCAGCTTGGGTTTAATATTCCCGGCCGCTGTGAGATTGTTACTGAACATTACTGAGCCTGAAGAAAAAGCATTTTTACTCAAGCAGCTTTGACAATTAAGAATGTGTACTCTTCATTTGTTTGCGTAGATGTTGCGTGTCTGTGTGTTTCTTTTCCTGTACATATTTATATTGTGCCTTTTAAATATAATCACCATTCAGTAAATGTATTATCTTAAAGGGAATTACTGAGATATGACAAACATATGCAATATGACAAACATATGTTTGTATTGTTTGTTTTGGTGAAGTGTTAACTTTGATTCAAAGGCCTATGCCGTTAGCCGTCATTTTCTTTAAGTTTGGTACTTTTGATGTGCGCCAACTTCACCTCTGCATAAATAAGTTTCCTCCATAACCCAGCCAATCAGATGCTGTTATTCTTTCACTTGAATCTCAAAAAATGCTCTTCTGGTGCTTTTTTTCTTCTTCTATGTCCTACTTTGTTTCCTGCATTTTTCAGGAAAAACAAAACAATGATCTAGTCCCTGTATACTGTCTATTATCTACACCTAATTGAAGATATGTGACTATCATGAGATTTAGGGATTTGTTACTATAATGCATAGACAATCAAGGGATGTAGTAGCTCTATTAGCTAGAGAACAAGTGCTCGATCTAGCCCTGGAATTACGCTTGAGCTTTTAGGTTAGTTGGAGAACCTCTGGCATATTCAAACTAATACTGGTTGAAGAAGCAAATATCTGTACCTACACTGTTTATGGTTCTGTGTAAGTGAAGTTCATTAAATACTTTGTGGCTGGCCTACCTGTTTATCTCCGACTCAAAATGTCTTTAGCATACTTTTAAAAAGAGTACTTATTACAGAAATAATTTACTTTGAAAGAACAATATAATGTGTTTGGACGCTTAATTGCATGTTAGTTGCAAGTAAATGTTTTATTGTTTAAATGTGTATTAAATGCAGTTATCTGAGCTTTAGGGTGCTTTTTGACCCACTTACTAAAGTACATGTATGTCAATTCTTAATTATTGTTTTTGAAATAAGGATGAAAAGCACTATCAAATGTACTTTTAAAATATATTACCTTTAAATGTATTAATGTGTAACACTCAAAATTATAATTTAGTTTACATGTTCTTTAGTATGTTAGTCAACACCTAAAAATAAGTAATTTAAAGCATGACAAACACAAATATTAAAGCATTTTTGAAAAGTAAATGTGTATAATGTTAGTCATGAAAGTGTAGTAAAGTGGACTTTTATTTTTTCAATATCTGTAAGTACAGTTTTTTATGTATTTAAAGTACTCTAGAAGTGCACATTCAGTACAACTAAACTGCACTTTTACACAAGGGATATGTTTCAAGAATGATCTAGTTTACATCCACAGTATCTGCGAAAAGAAAAATAAATAGTACATTGCTTGAATTGGTAGAGTTGGATTGAACAGAACTAATAGAATACTTTATTCCAAGGTAGAAATAATTTAATGTTTCAAGGACTTTTTCCTCTTCGCAATGTTTGTTTTTCTGCACTCTTCTATATAAAGCCACCAAAACAGACAAATGAAAATTTCTTAAATTAACATTGTCAGTATGTTGTTTAACTTTGCTCTTCAATAGTCATCCAGAATTATTAAGTTGGTATATTGACATTGCATCAGTTATTATATATAATTATATATAGAACTAGTAGTAGAAATTAGCAGCCATGTTCATCCCCCTCTTCAGAACACCAGTGACAGGTTCAGGTTGAGCAAGAGCCCCATCTTTAGGTTGAACAGGAGCTCTATTTTCAGATTCCATATTCATGCGATAATATCTTATATTGTGTCTATTCTTCTGATGTTTACTGGGCTTAACTATTTTCTGCTCATCACAGTTAGGATGGAACCATGTGTAGTATATAATTTTCACAAGAATTCCAACAAGGTACAAACCTAGTAGTGTCGGGATCACTATGTAAGGATTTAAGGAGCTCCAACAGCCTGTATACTCAAACACCTTCCAGCACCAGAAGCCCAGCAGCATCATTGTGTCCAACCCCATGACACCATTATAGAGAACAGTCTTTATTTTCATGCTTCCTGTTGATACGTTAAACCAGCTGAAGTACCAGATGAGTCCAACACAAGCTCTGAAGAGACATTCCCAGCCAGGACTTTCCATGTGATCTGTTTTTTGGCTCCAGACCCCTAAAACCAGCAGCATCCACAAAGACAGGAAGTGGGCTATGATGTAGCATGGCAATACACTGCAAAAGAGTGCCAGAGCGGTTACACGGGGAATGATCAGCAACAAGTTCCACAGAAAGTAGACGCCAGTGGGGATCCAGCTCATCTTGCGTTTTTCTTGAAGAAAGGAACGCATGCTGCGGTGGTACAAGGCTACGGTAAAGGCTATTGCAGCAGCTGATGAGAGGATTTTTAAACCTGAAATGAAAAAAAAAAAAAAACATTGCATATTAATATCATACAAGCAATAGTGTTCTTCTGAATATATGAGTGAGATGCATATAATCAGCTGATGCTGAGACTCTGAGAAACACACATTGGCACTGCCATGTCTGGAATTAACAGTTTTTTATTCACATATCAGCGCAGACATAGAGCACATCAAATATGGTAAACATGCTTGACACACAAGAACCAATAAGTAGTGATGGTGAAATGAAGTTTTGTGAAGCACTGAGGCTTTCCCCTAGCCTGGAGACAACCAGACCATTCTCCGTTGTAACTGAGTTATGGTCTGGCAAAGCGTCATAGACAAATCATTTCCAGAGGGGCGTCACCAACGGACGTCGTGGATAGACCTAAAACCAATCAGAGCGATGAAGGAGATGACGTATGCAGAGCGGTGGAGAAACATCTCCGAGTGTTGTTCTTTGCTCGGTTTTTAACAAAAAGGTAACGTTCAAATCGCTTAAAACAGACGCGATAGCTGATTCGAACGAGTGATGTTCGACAGCGGCATCCATCTTTGTAATGTAGGCTACAAAATCTGCTTCAAAATCCCAGCGCTGTCGTCATCGTGTAAAGCCCGCCCCAACGTTTCTGATTGGTGCCTCGATTTCGACGGATTGGAAATGGGTTTGAATGAGCTCTTTGCCAGACCAGAGCCCGTCTAACGGAGAGCCTTGGCACTTCCTATTAGCCCCATTGTGTATCATATTGGTTGCAGTTCCATTAGAATTCCACTGGAGGTGATCGCGGACGAGTGCAGAATGAATGGGAGTCTATGGAGCTAAACGGCTAAATGTATCTCTTTCTCCTGGTTGTCGTTGAATCAACATAGATTTTATTGTTGATTCTGCAAGTTCAATATAGATTATAGGCCAAAAGTCGAATGAACGAGTACTTATGTCCTTTCGATTTCTTACAGGTTAGGCCCTTGTTGGCCGGAACACGCTAGCATTCTGCTATTATGTGACGTCATCACATTTTTGAACGGATTTTTAGAACAGATAAGTGAACTTAAAAATGCCATTTTCAGCTGAGTGTATTATCTTAGCCCTCCCTTTTGAATGCAACTTTCAAATTACTTGACAAAAAATTACATCCTAAGAAAAGGGGATTTCTGGGGGTGAAACCCCATAGACTCCCATTCATTCTGCACTCGCCTGCGAGCGCCCCCGCATGGACAGAGACGTGTTACTGCAGCCAGTCCAGAAACCGGAAGTAACCAGCAGTGCCAATTCTCTTCAATTGGCTTTACAGCTGCACTACTTCCTGAACTTCAGCCAGCTCCTTTGTTTCCTGTCTGCCATTATTGGACAAACTGATTAATCCAGGTGTGCCTGGCCTCAGTAACAATAATCAGGCACACCTGGATTAATCCGTTTGTCCAATAATGGCAGACAGTAAACAAAGGAGCTGGCTGAAGTTCAGGAAGTAGTGAAGCTGTGCATAAAGCCTATTAGACATTCTCTGGCCAGACTAACTTTCAGAGCAAATCTAAATTAGCCTGAAGTTGTCTGGGTTTTCCCAGGCTAGCTTTCCCCTCAAATGTATCGTAAATTGGTTCATTAGCCTACTCGAAGCTTTTCAACACGGTGCACACACTAACGACATCTTGTGGTGGAAAAGCTACCTTTCACAATTTTTTTATTTATTGTTTTATGTTATAAATCACTTTGTGCTTCTCGTAGTGGATCAGGCACCTGTGAGAAGGCGGATATCACGGGATTCACGCCCGTGCACCGTATTGCTAATAAACTGGATGTAATTTAAGTTTTGTTGCTTTTATATGAAAAGAAATATAATGAACAAGACACCCAAAGTACTTATTTAATTCCATTTTAAATAGGTGTAAGACTGGAAAACTGGTTGGAGAAACTGTCTTGACCACATGGTCTATTGAAACAAAGGAACTTGCTGAAAATTAACATTTGACCTCCCCCTCACACAGTCTCACCTGATTTACATTTCCTCTCTCTCTCAGTCAGTAACACTAAAAAACGCACACAAGTATATACATGGTTTAATGTGAATGATTATTGTGTTTAGTATCATTTTAAAGGTCTCAGGGTGGCTGGTTCAGATGTCTCATTCCAAATAAGTAAAACAAAAGGTAATAAGGTTTTTTAGAAGTTTAGAGAAACTGGCACACAAAGAAAGGTGGACAAATGGCCTTTCTCCCCTACCCCCAAAATAAGGTGTAACCTGAATGCAAATTACCATTGAAAAGAAGTTCTGGCTATTTAATGGAATGCAGCAAGGAATCGTGGCTTTTTCTGTATTTCAGATAGCCCGTGAGGATTAGCTCATGTAGTTCTTAAATGTTGGGTTTGCATCTATTTCTCTAATCCTAAAACATTTGATGATTTGCATTGATTATCTTTCAATTGATTATGGAATTGTTATAATACATTTACCTGACATAATAAATTGTAATATTTGATTATTCTAACAGACTTTGACTTTATTTTCATTGGAGTTAAAAGGAATAGTCAAACATTAACGTATATTTAAAAATGCACAGATATCATTGAAAAACACTTTCATTTTATGGAGTCAGATGAAACGAGTTAATACATAAGATAGAATGTATTGCATTTAATTAAAAATCCCTTTGCCATGGAAAAGACGGAACACTGCGTGATACCTTCACCTCTAATCGATGCTGCCATTGGATCGAATTAGACGGACATACATAGGCCTACGTGTTTATCAATCTTTTTTTCTTTAATACAGACGTGTTTTTATTTAAAATAATAATAATAATAATTTCATCACATAGATCGCACTGTCAGAGAGTTTGGGAATATCCACACATAATTTATACACATAAAACATGATATCAGAGTTTTAAAATCAAACATTTTAAAAGAGAACAATACATCACGGTTATTTAAACCAATGAGCATTAAGCTGTGTCGTCAGCAAGTCGTTTCCCATCGTGCTTTTGATCAGCGCAGACAGTTGGGCCCTGTCCCAAATGGCGCACTTCATGCGGACTTTCGGTCTCGTGGACTTAAATTGCGCGTGCTCGCCGAGTCTACGAGTCCATAGGCCGTCCCATTTAGCACTCTGAAGTGTGCTCAGCAGCGCCCCCTTTGTACCCTTGAAGCGGTCTTCCGCGAAGCCCGCATAGATGCAGGCTCCACGCACTTTAACTACCCAGGAATCCTTGCGAAAGGCCAATCAGACAACGGATGGGAGGAGATTTGTTAACATGTCTGAGAAGAAAATATTTAAGTGTAATTATCATTACGGTTTTTATGACAAGTTTATACAAACATTATGATCATCAACCAGTGGTTGATGTCTCAAACATAGGCTAATAATAGCGAGCTGAATAATACGATCGCATTATGATTAATTAAATAAATAGAACAGAATGTCAGGGCTTTACTGAGTCATATGTAAACACAACAACAATAGGCAGCATATTTCCCGAACCTGTAGCTCCTGTCCATAACAACAATCAGACCGTCTTCCTGTTTCCGGCGTGACGATCAAGTCTGTCCCAAAAATACCTCTCAATGCGCCCTCGCGGACTCGCGCTAAGGGCCCTATAGGTCTGCACTACATGACGTCACCGAAGTGTGGACTCTGAGGAAGTCCACAAGTCCGGAGTGTGCCATTTGGGACAGGGCCTTGGTGGAGAGCAACTGCGCGCGACTGCAGAATCCGACAGGTGAGGAGAGTTTATTGACATACGTCGGCATCAGAGCCGTTGAAAAACAGAGTTGCGACACTCCCATAGACCGCCATAGGAACTTTGGAATGCGGAAGTAACGCGTGTCGTGGAGCAGCCAATAGTTCCAAACACTGATAGTCCCAGCATTGAGCCAGGTGCGCGCACGGCGGAGAGGGAGAGAGCGAGAGACTTTGCGTGTGTGCGCATCATGACACAGAGACTTAGGCACCGAAATCAGCCACCGAAATTTTCGTTCTTATTCGGTCTGGTTACTACCGTTTACGTTGGAACCGGTTCCCTGTTGGCACCGTGTTTCGGTACCCAGTCTTTCCCTTGGCAAGCCACCTTGCCACCCCTGGGGTTGAAACATTTCACCCTGCGGGCTGGACACCCCAGTGTTTTCCATATGCAGCCCCCCTCGGGTCATATGTGTATTCTGTAAGTATTCTGCTTCCCAGTGTACCTTGGTATTCTTTCGTCCGTGCAAGTCTCACGACAGGGAGCTTCGACTTACGTAGGGCACTGGAAGACAGCCGAGTGGCGTGATTAGACTGGGAACCCCATTCGTCGTCACGACATATCTCGTAGTGACTACAAAAAGGAACGTCTCGGTTACGGACGTTACGTTTCCCTGCCACTTTCGCAGTACCGCTGGAACAGCATGAGTTCAGTCTCGGCTCCTCAGCAAGTAACATTACTGCATGTTGCCAGCATACTTCCTTATATACCCACGAGGCGGGGTGGAGTTACGCTATACAAAATCCATAGACCCATGGCATTTCTTTGCCATTGGCTTGTTTTGTAATCCTCGAAGTTGATAGGCTTTCTAAGTGAAACCCCATTAGTCGTCACGACGTAACGTCTCCGTCCCCCACTCAGGGAACGAGGGTTACATCCGTAACCAAGACGATGTTGCTGCAAGAGGGTGGGGAATGTATTTTGATTAAAGACTATGAGTGAATTAAAAATATTAATAACAATAATAATAATTTGCATGGATAAATCGTTTATAATAAATACGCCAATATTCTATAAAAAAATATGATTTGTCAAATTTGATTTCATGGCTTTCAGTGTGTAACGGCCACCGTGTGTTAAATAGTGTTTATGATATGAATGTTTATATGCCTTTAAGATGACTTCTTCTATGGCGTACGTTATTGTATGCGCGCTGTTCTGATGTGAGCGCGCACGCAGAGTGAGAGTGAGAATGCTCGCGAAAGGAGGAAGATGACCGCTCTATCGCTGACTGCTGTTTTACTATCTGTTTACTTCTACTTTGATTTGTGACGTGATTTCAGAGTCTTTTTCTTTTCCCTGTTAACTTTCGCTCTTTGTCATGTATGTGAAGAGTGTGTTTAACTGAAAGGAAACTATAAAAGACTCGTGGGACAACCAGTGTTCGTTTGCACTGTTTTTCCTAATCTTCATCTGGGCAGACTTCAAACTCTGACGGACGTTACAAGTGGTTCAGAGATACATAAGAACTATAATCTGAAAGAAACAAAGATTTAAAGTGTTCTAGATTTAATACAGACCTGTAATAAGCTCCAGCTCTCCTCTCTGTAAGTTTCTACACATCATAAGTATGAGTTGTGGGGCACTTTCAGAAAATGCCTCAAAGAGACGAAGCATCTGAAGGTCCTGGTTCAGCAATACAGCCACACCCTCTGTGAATCTATTTGTTTTGTTACGAAAAAGTATTGTGGAAATCTCTATCACCCCAGCATACCTGTGAACACAAGGTACATGCATACTCAAGCAACACTTAATACACCAAAACTTTACAATAGCCAACAGAAGCCACAATTTGGATTTTGTTCTACCTTATGAAGTACTTGTTTTATTTAAATGTGTAAACGCGTTGACTCCAGACCAAATCAATTGATCTCAATAAGGATTAAGAAATAGCTCTGATTAATTTTGATTTAATGGTCACCCAAAAATGACTTTCTGTCATCATTTACTCACCCTCATGCTGTTCTTCGAAACACAAATGATGATTTTTCTTATGACACCAGAACAAACCTCACTGATTATTGCGGAAACTGAAACGTGTTTGCGAGAACAAAACTCTGTTTGCCATATTTTATGTGCTCTATGTTTGTTGATCAGTGTTTAAATGGGAATAAAAGCCTAAACTAAAGCTGTATATCATATAAAGGGTGAGTAAATTATGAGAGTTTGGGTGAACTATTTTAGGGGTTCATAAATTTATAGATAAAGTGTGCTTTAGTTGTACTGAATGTTCACTTTTAATTACAAGTACTTCAAATCTTAAAAGAATATAAAAATAAATAAATAAAATGGTATATAATATATGAAATAAAATGCCACTCTTAAGTAAAGCTAATACATTTTCATGACTGTTTACCGCACTTTAACTTAAGTACACTTTTTGTAATAATGTCTTGTAATAAGAATAAGAGTGCACATTGTAATAATGTCATGATAAAAGTTTTACTAATTATGTTTTAAAAATGTTGTGTTGTGCTTTAAATAAGCACACTTTTTTGATGTTGACTAACGTGTAAAGAACATGTTATAATTGTAACTGTAGTGTGTTATTTAGTATTTGATTTAAAGTTAATATATTTGAAATATTGCTAAATTGAAACAATATCATTACAAATGTGTAATTACAAATATATTAAAATACATGACATTTAAGTCAATAGAAATTACATTAAAGTATACTGTAATTTACCATAAACGCTTGTCAGTACATTCAGCAGTACACTTCAACCATATTTAATAAAAACAAAATAATTATGAAATTACATACAAAGCTGTATTTAAGTCCTATTAAGTGGGTCAAAAAACAAACAATTTGCATTTAAAAATTAAACTATTATGCATTTTCATGTAATTGCAATTAACATGCAGCGAATCATCTAAAAACATTACATTCAGTTTTATTTATATTCTTTTATAGTATATTATTTCCATAAAAAGTACTCTTTTTAAAAGTATGCTAAAGTGTAGGCTAATTTTTTTCTATTCGAGGAAAATTTAAAACAAATCTGTCACAGACCTGAGGTAGACTCCAAGCTGAAGGAAGTGGAGTGGTTTGATCAGTTTATGCCCGTTAGCAAATTTCTCAACCTTAGTCACAAGCTTAAACTTAGTCTCCTCCACCTTAGTCTCAAGCTTAGTCTCCTCCACCTTAGTCTCAAGCTTAGTCTCCTCCACCTTAGTCTCAAGCTTAATCTCCTCCACCTTAGTCTTAAGCTTAGTCTTCAGGAAATCTGAGTACCAGACCCAGCTAAACACCTGTAACAATACTGAAGAGCCCAGCAGCAGAAAGATCATCACCGCCATATACACATATGCCCCTTCCTGATAAAATAACACAACAGTCCAAATGTCCAGCGCTATATCCAGCAGGAAAAGAAAAAATCCCACTAATGTAAACAGGTATTCCAATAAAGAGTACTTGAAAGGGAAGCTTTCCTCCATGATTGATCCAGTGTGAAACCTTTACAGCATGACAAAGTAAATACAACTACCTCCTTTATGTGGATATATATACTGCTAAAAATAACTGAAAGAGAAAGTAAACTTTACATCCAGACATAAACTCCTCCCATGTCATGTTTTTGAATGATTATTCATATGTGAGATAGTGAGGGAAGTCACTTAAGAATGTGACCAGACTCGCACAAAATTGGTGGGAAATCCCAAATAGTTGCTATAATCCTCCAAATTAAAGGGGTGGTTGATTATGATTTCACTTTTCTAACTTTAGTTAGTGTGTAATGTTGCTGTTTGAGTATAAACAACATCTGCAAAGTTACCATGCTCAAAGTTCAAAGCAAAGGGTGCTATTTTCTTTTAAGGAAATTGCTTTTAATGACAACAAACGGCTTGTAGGGACTACACAAGCTTCCTCCCGGGTTAGTGACATCACTAACCCTAAAATTTACAAATACCTCGCCCCCAGGACACGATTTATAGATTATCAAGACAGAATATGCTAATCAATGACTATAACTACACATAAGCTACATAAATTCATCAACTAACCATTCAGAAATGTTGTTTACATGTTGTCACTTCTTCTTGAGTCTCTCCATCTTTATAACTCCGGATTAAACTAACATTTTAACATGGTATATAAAAATATATGCGGGGTGTTTTGAGTTAAAACTTCACATACACACTCTGGGGACATCAGCAATTTATTTTACATCTTGTGAAAAGGGCATTATAGCACCCCTTTAAAGTAAAGAGGACAAGACAACCTTTAATTGCCCAAATGGCTGTACTAACGAAGCTATAATACCTTTTTTTCTTTTCTTTTTCTTAAAAAAATACCACTATATTGGAATATTTATTATAATTTATATCCACAATGCACGGTTTCTTTGGGTGGTCATTAGGGGTTACTATGCAAAATTAAGTGTTCTGAGTGGTTTACAGTCAGGGCTAGGAACTGATTCCATGTAATCTGGATTACACAATCAGATTCCAAAATCCATTTGATCACTGGATTTACAGGAATCATTTCACTTTTAAGAAGTGTTTCCTCAACATTGCAACATCAGCTCCCACTGTAAAAAGTGAACATGTGCAGTTGTTGCGTCAAGGAGGCATTGTATACCTGATTCTACAAATTATATGTTCTAATGTTGTTGTAACATACTTCAATCAGTTTTATGTAACATAAAACAAGGGAATGCTGTTTTACCTTAACTGAGTTACATTGACTCAACATACAATTTTTAATGAAGCTCAGGATGGACATTTGACACATGCGCACCAGCTCCTTGCTGATCGTCGAATTTTGCTTCAATGAGAAATTGTGATTTTGGGTTATTTACAAATTATGTTGCATCAAAGTAAAAATCGCACTTGACAGCTCTACTCTTTAGCACAATGGTAACCACAACATTTAATGAACACTTAACAGAAACAGAACTTAACAGAAACTCCTAAATGCTCATCATAACTGAACATTAACATAAACTACCAACATCTTTCACTTTCCTGAAAAACACTTAAACGCTAAATTTACTCTACTAATGCAGTCCCATGCAAAGCATGCTGGGTATACGAGCGTATGGGACGCTCAAGGGGTTCAGAATTAATGCAGTCAAGATGGTGGTGTGTAGTTTCCGGTAAAAGAAACACCCGATGGAATCCCAGTTTAACTTATTTATTCAAGGGAAGTTGGTATATGTTACTTCACAAATGTGTGGTCTGTAATAAACAAAATAGAAACAAAGAAAAACAATTGTAATTATATCAGTAAATGATATAAACATTCAGGTATTAAATAATATATAAATGAACATACATGGGTTAACTGCGTGCTGATTATAAATAAAATAAAGTAAACAATGACACGCATATTGCACGATCGTTGCATATGCTCAATATTAGAGCAGCGGTAAACATACAACATGTCATCAAATTCGACATTTTCAAACAATATTGAACAAACAAATACTGATCTGTAACTAGGAAGAGACTATAATATCTTATAACCTAATATAATGACAATCATTTTTGAGCTCAAAGTCTAATACGAAAAACGGTTCGGTTTCACTTTGTGACGCAGTTTAAATTGCATTCATTTTACGAGCAAATCTCGACATTCAGAAAAATAATATTAACGCCAAAGGGAAAAATATATATGAAAACTCACGCGTAATCATTTACGCACTGAGAAAGAACATATATATCGCTGAATAACAGGCCAGCCGGCCTAATTTGTAACTCAGCTGCCGATTTTGCATGTCTACACCTGGCTGAGCGCTGTATAATACCAGTCACTCAGGGGGCGTGGTTAGGGCTTTCTCACACAGCCGCCCCCAAATGTGTGTAAGGACATTTGAAACAGTGAGGAACCCTGACTAATTGGTAGGCTCAATAGAGTCATCATCAGAGAGTTTAGGGAGTGGGACTATACGGGATACAGGTCTCACATATGTGCGATTGTGTACCTTAACTTCAACTGTTCTGATACGGCCATCAAGTCCAGGAAAAGTATTAGTCACTTTTCCTACTGGCCAACATGCTCGTGGAAGTTGTGGGTCCACTATCAGTACCACCTGGTCTAGACCAATTTCTCCTCCATCCTTTCCCCACTTCTGTCTTTCTTGCAGATTCGGAAGATAGTAATGGATGAATCTAGACCAGAAATGGTCAGCAAGTACTTGACTATGTTTCCATCTTCTGGTTCCCAAAAGATTACTTGAATCATAGAGTACTTGTGGGAGTGAAGAATCGTGGCGGCCCATTAGGAGAATGCTAGGCGTAACCGGGTCCAAATCCGACACGTCTGAGGACACGTATCCCAAAGGCTTGGCATTTAGGATACCCTCTACCTCAATAAGCACGGTACGCAGTACTGTTTCAGTCACTGTTTGATCCTTCAGTACAACCTTTAGGGCTTGCTTTACTGACTTAATTTCCCGTTCCCAAGCTCCCCCGAAATGAGGGGCACTCGGGGGATTAAATCTGAATGAAATCTGTTGTTCTGCAAGTTGTTCCCTTAGTTGAGGCACCATGGCGTCATATGCTGATCTCATTTCTTTGTTTCCTCCAACAAAGTTGGTACCGTTGTCGGAAAGGAGCTCGAATGGTTTCCCTCTCCGAGATATGAATCTGCGGAGAGACATCAGAAAGGCATCTGTGTCAAGGCCCTCTAAGAGATCAAGATGGAGACAACGGGTGGTCAGACATTTGAAAACTATTCCCCATCTTTTCTCTGTTCGTCGGCCGATCTTCACTGCGAATGGACCAAAGCAGTCCATTCCAGTGGAATAGAATGGGGGTTTGTATAGACGTAGACGTGCTGGTGGGAGGTCAGCCATCTTGGGTATACTAGGCTTGGCACGCCATTTCCGGCAGTCCATACACATGTATTGATGCTTCTTGATAGCTTCCCTTCCTCTCAGAATCCAGTATCGTCTTCTCAGTTCGGCAAAGACTCTTTCTGGCCCAGGATGTAAAAGGGAGGCATCATAGTCCTTGATTAGAAGCTTGGTTAGGTTATGTTGCGGATCAAGCACAACGGGATGTATTGCATCCAATTCTATATGATTAGCATGTCTGAGTCTCCCTCCAACCCTGATAAGTCCACTGGCTTTATCATACTCAGGTGATAAGGATGCTAATCTGCTGTTGGATGGTAATGGTCGCTCAGATGCGAGAGCCTTGAAATCCTCAGGAAATGAATCTTTCTGAGCCTGTTGTAGAAGGAGCTTCTCTGCTGATATGTAACCCTCTGAATCATCTGTTGAATGAGTGAAAGATGTAGCCGCCCCATGAAGGGATGTCACTGTAGATTTGAGCAATTCAGTCCAAGTACTAAATTGGTTGACATCAGGAAGGGGAACATCTGAACTAATGCACGCATGCAGGCAAATTGCTGATTTTTTCAACTCTGCCTCTGATTCAGGTTCCTCTGATGGTAAAGTGGGCCAACATGACTCTGGCTGATGCAGGAAATGTGGACCATTAATCCAACGGCAAGGTGGGGCTAAAGCCTTCAACGACTGGCCTCGTGTTATAACATCAGCAGGGTTGTTCGCTGAATCAACATACCTCCAAGAATTAATATCGGTGAGTGACTGAATCTCGGCCACTCGTGTTCCCACGAAGACTTTGTATCTGCATGATTCAGATTTAAGCCATTGGAGGACAGTGGATGAGTCTGACCAGAGAATGACATTATTGATGTCCACAGTTAGTTCTGCTTGAAGGATATTAGCCACCTGCGCTCCGGTAAGTGCCGCACTCAGTTCTAGCCGAGGGATCGTCATTTGCTTCCGAGGTGCCACTCGAGAACGGGCTAACACAAATGAGACATATACATGTCCTTCATTGGTTTCTGTGCGCATGTATGCCACTGAGCCATAAGCCCTCTCAGATGTGTCGCAGAATATATGTAAATCCCGATTGAGGATTGCCCCATGGCCCTCAAATGGAGTGTAACACCGTGGGATTGCGATCTGATTCAAACTTTGGAGCTCTTGTTGCCAGTCTTGCCATCTGGTCAACAGACTATCAGATGTGATTGTGTCATCCCACCCAAGATTGGTCTTCCACAAATCCTGGACCAACACTTTGGCTCGGGTAGTAAACGGAATTAGATAACCCAGTGGATCATATTGAGATGCCAAAACTCTGTATACATTACGCAGAGTGGGTTCAAGGCATCCAGATTGGCTGGGTTTGTAACTGAACGAGTCTTTGAGGCAGTTCCACAGTAGCCCGAGTGTACCTTCCAGGAGGTCAGTGCTCTTCTGTGATAGCCAGAGTTCACTATTCTGTGATCTTACTTCAGAAGGAAGATGCTGGATAACTTCGGGTCTGTTGCTGGCCCATTGATGGAGCTCAAACCCACCGGTGAGCAAGAGTTGCCGTAGGTCGTCTACTAATGCTCTAGCTTTAGCAACAGTTTGAAGGCTATGGAGACAGTTGTCTACATAGAAAGAGTCTTTGACCGTTTTCACCTGAGCTAGGTCCACTTGTGGGTGGTTCTGAACAATTTCCTGGAGTGCATATATGGCACA